GCAGGCTGGGCAAATCTGTTTCTTCACCTCCCATCTCCAAGTTGGCATGGACCTGACGGGATGTATTATTCTCTGTCACACAGGGGCTCGGAGTTGAGTTGATTTGTTGTTGATGTTTGTGTCGAGCTACGGTGATTGAGCGTCTCATTGTGTGGCAATCATCCAAGTGAAACCTCTGCTGATGAGATAAAGAGACAGGCATTTCTGCAGCATTGTTCCCCGGGCCTTCATGTGATCATGCCACATCAACTGCATAACAAGAGATCAGAGTGGTGTCGGAGGAACCAGAGTAATACGGACTTCAGACACGGGAGGCAATTCATTCAGCATCAAGACTCAGACAAATAAATAAAAACTGTAGCTAAACTTTAAACAGACCTAAGTCCAACTGCCGACCCAGCACTTGTCAAACTAAAATCCCATTGATTTATTGTTGTCAGGTGATGCTGTCCAAATGCAAGATAAGTCTTGAGAAACTGACAAGAGCAAACTGAAGCCGAGCATAACTAATTGACCCACTGAGAAAAGACCTCTGCTCTTCACGAGCGGCTAACTGAACGGTCTCTAGTGATAATAAAGAAACTGGGCCTCTATCTGGAGATTTGCATGTTTTAGGGAAAGAATGACAAACCGTCTCCTCGGCGTCCTTCTCGCTCGAGGAGATCAAAGATGGCTTGGGGTGGCCCCACTCTCAAAGGTCCTCTGGGTCTCGCCCTTGTAAACATTTTTGACAGGCACACAACACAAGAAACAAGTCTATCTCCTTCAGTGTGGTCACTGTTGTTGATTTTATAAAAGCCCCCATGATGAACAATACAGCTAATTTAGGATCGACTACCGGCATTGATTACAACTCGGCAGACACGGTCAAGTCAGCTGCTGGCAAAGAGAAGTGTGCAAATCTTTTCGACAGTTTGTTCTTGAGCTTCATAAAAGTGGTGGTGCATGTCTGAAGGTTGATATCAGTTACTAAAATGAACTGACCCTCTTTAACCCTAAAAGTCTGCATCCATTTGTGCCTCTGTTAAAAAAAGCATTAGACATTGCTGCAAATGACAATGATGGATTATTATTATTATTATCTACTCATGTAAACTCATGTAAGCTAGATACATGTATTTCTTTGAGCATTTTTACAACTGAAGGGATGTCTTGGTTGTAAAAATATCTCCAAATAAATGTCTTTCTTTCTTTAGTTAACTGGTTAAGAAACCGTAAGATACACCGCTTCAGATCTAATTGAAACCTAAAACAGATTCAATGTGGAGATGCAACTACCTAGTTATATTTCATTATCTGAACTGTTTATATCCATTTTTAATGAGACTTAAAGAGCAAAAATAATTCTTCTAATTGATCGAACACAATTTCCAAAGATATTTCATTTTAAATTATACAAAACAAAAAAACAAATCAAATGTTCAAATTTGACCCAAAATATATTTGTGGGTGATCATAGCTGAAATGCTCTATCGTTTATCAAAGTTGTTAATATTAATGAGCAACTTTCAGCTTTAATGCAGGGTTAATATGATAACAGGATTGTGTGACTATCTTATATTAGAAGCTGGCTCAAATGTAGTTATTATCTAAATCATTATTAAATAATAATGAATGGCCTTCCACTTGTTTAATCATACTATCTGAAATGATTATTATTTTTAAATTTAAAGTCAGCCCTAAGCCCCTGATCCATCAGTTTGTTGAAGGACTTAATATTGTTTTTGTTCAAACACATATTTCAATTTGCATGGACGTTTTTCAGTTGTTCCCGTGCGGTTAAAGTATGTAAAATCTGCTAATGCGTTGTGGACACGATGAGACCTGATGCATCGCCCAAGGCAGCGAGCTGTTCATCTCAATACTAACACAACAGGTTTCTCTCAACACGTGTTTGAACCCATTTTACTACTAAATTCCAATCAACAATCACATGCAAGACAAACAATGTTCCCGGTTGAAAAGTTCTGACAAGATTGATGTGCCTGAAAATCAGCACTATTTACCAGGAAATACTTGTGTTTAGATTAGTAGAAAAGAAGGCGATTCACAGTTGTGAGGAGACGGAAAAAGTAGAGCAGCTCTAGCCTGTTACTATGTGGCTCTTGTGTCGGAGGGTTTTTCAGACCTCCCATTGCTGCTGTCTGACTGGCTGCGGGGGGAGAGAGGGACACAAAGGGTTAAACTGTGCGCCTGTCTTCCTTGGAGATGGGAGAGGCCATTTGAATGGCTAGCTTCTGCAGCTAGCCTACACATTGGCTAAGGCTGAGGGTGGATCTGCTGCTGGGCCTGTGCTCCGACATGGAGCCGGCTGCAGGATCAGGAGTCAGTGTGAGCAGACTGCAAAGCTTTGAGTGTGTTTGTGTGTACATACATCACATTGGAGGGGAAGTTGAAGGGCAGCTTTTCTAATAAACTATTGAGTCTGAACATAAACCTATCAAGTGGATATTTCTTGTTTTAAAGCGTGAAAATCATAATTTTTGTATTATTGTAAATCCTGTTGCCGAGTAGATTATTTCAATTTACAGACTGACGTAGATAAAAGGTGGTTATATCATTTGTTTTTTCTAGCACCAAGCCCCCTTTAACTCCCCGCGCACTCTGCCATTCTCATAATGCTGCCGCCCGCCCCAAACACACACTCTTTTAATCTTTAAGAGCTTACCTCTGTGAATCTATGAGGACAGGGTGTCCGTGTTGTTTTGTTAATTTAAGGGTCAACCTCAGGACACTAATGAAACCAAGCAGCAACAATAGAGAGCGAGCAAAGAAGAACAGACTTTGGAGATAATTGTCTCCTGCAATGGGAACATAAATGTCCCTTCTTGTTTTGTTTTATGTGGGTGAAAATGATTTCTAACCCCTACAAGAAGGAACATAATCCCAACTTTACGAGCTGACCTGTAACCTGCCCTTAACCTCAGGGACTCATTATGTCCTCGGCTGTCAAACGGTCTTAATGTGGCTCTCGTGGCTGACAAGCTAATCTGAGCCGGCAGGTCAGTCAGCTGTGTTTACCTCTGAGAATCCTCCATCTATCCACACACACTTGTACTCACAAACTCAGCTGATCTACTCACACACACTCGCACCTGCAGAGTCTGATGTTACGTAACTGGCTGAATTAAGGGCACGCACACATGTAGATGCATGTACAAACAGCCAACCTACAGACTTGTCTCTGTCCTTAACTAATCTTGTTTACTCCACTAACACCTTCACTGAACTTCAGGGTGTGTGTGTGTGTGTACTGCATTTAGAGCATGTGTAAGTTGTGTTACTTGAAAGAAGGCCAGGGAAGTTTTGTTAAGCTCTAAATGACTAGTGTCTTAACATTAGATTAGATTTAATATGTTTTAGGTGTTGGACAGCTGAGTTTTAAGATTGAATTTAATAGTGTACAATTATCAGAATAATTGTTAATTACAGCTTTGAGAGTTGTTGTGATCTTTATCGATCATAGTGTTTCTCAGCGTGAGGAACTTGAGGAAAGTGCAAGGGTGCTGGAAGATTTGTATACATTTTTATTTTTCAAATAACCCTTTCTAAACACAAATAAGGAAGGGACATTTGATTTAATTTGATATAAATTAAAAGTCACTCCTTTTATTGTGTTTAAAAGAAAAGAAAGAAGCAAGACATCACGCACGTGTCTCGCTCCAGTTTTCTCGCCCTCTGTCTCACTTTCACCAAGCCTTCTGGATAAGTGTCTGTCTTTTTTCAACTAGTGTTGGATCCCTGCTGTTTGTATTCACCATGCTTGTTGGCCAATGACAGATGGTCTTCTGGGCGGCTGGCTAGTGAGGGAGGAGGGATTTCCCTCCTGCTGACACATAGCTCCGACCATACAAGATATCTCCGGAGTTTGAGATATTAATATATATTGTAATATACTGTAACTTGGGGGAACTCAGAATCAGAATATCTTTATTAGTCCCACAGAGGGGACATTTGAATTGTTACATCGAAATGATAGAGGCAAAATATGAATTACATTTACAAATATTACCAATCCAGGTGGAAAACAATAAGTAAAGTAACTAGGGATGCCAGAAACTGACCATGATCAAATTCGAAAATCGGACAGCCCTGGCGAATATTAATCGATTATTTGCCCCCCCCCCCCCCCCGCGGGAGAGAAGGGGAAAAAAAATATTTTCGCAGAGCTTGCATTTTACTTCATTTGCACTTGTCAGTTCGAAGTAGTTCCACGAGGAACTCTTCTTTGTTCATCTTTAGTTGTGTTGTTCTCACTGTTCTGTATATCGCCAATAAATCAATCGCACGTGTGACTGAGAAGGGGGGCGGGGGGCGGGGGCGGTGTGTAGCAGGCTGCAGCAGGCTGCAGCAGGCAGCAGCAGTCTGCACTCTGCGCAGCCTGCGCTGCTGGCTTCCTCCAAGTTTACAGTAAAACAAACTGGTGGTGTGACCAATGGCCATTTACAATTATTAATACTATTACTATTATTAGCATTAGTCTATATTTTGGTTGAAACTAAGCCAGGAAAAAAAAGAAAAACATAAATAATAATAAAAATATATATAAATAAAATCGAATTTTAAAAATAATTTTCGATTATGGAGACTGTAACGAATATTCGAAAAAAAGAATAATCGCTGGCATCCCTAAAAGTAACAGTATTTAAAAAATAAATAAAATAAGTGTTTTTTTTTTATGCATGCTTCTTAGGTAACATTAAGCTGTCTTTGGCTCTTTCCTGCTGTAACAATGTAAATGTCCCCTCTGTGGCACTAATAAAGGTATTCTGATTCTGTAGCATGTAGTAGAAGTGTGCCAGATAACAGTAGTACAAATAAAAGTATATATTGCACATTTATTACAGATTTTGTTACAGTAGTTGAACTGAAATCATATGCCGGTGTCTGAATGCTGATAAGCTTCTGTTTCCTGCCTCTTTTCCCTCAGCCCATATTCAACCCTTTCTTGAACTTTCACATTTGCTTCACTAACTCTGTCCTTCCTCTCTCCCCTGCAGTGTGCCCGATGCATTGTAAACATCGAGCCTGCACCAAGGACGACCTGTGCTGCCACGACCAGTGTCTGGGCGGCTGCCTGAAGCCCCACTCAGCCGATCACTGCGTGGCCTGCCGCGGCCTCCAGCACGAGGACAAGTGTGTGGACCGCTGCCCCGAAAACCACTTCACTTACAGGGGCTGGCGCTGCGTCTCCTTCGGCTTCTGCCAAGACCTCCACAACAGATGCAAGCGCGAGAAGGAGCGCAGCAAGAGCGCCGACTGCCACGAGTACGTCATCCACAACGGGGCCTGCATCCACGAGTGTCCCTCCGGCTACACCACCGTCAACTCCTCCTCGTAAGTGGACACTCATGCCGGTCTGATGGGCTCCTGATGGTCTGATGGAACTATGTGTGCTCAGTGAAGCTGGATTAAAATTCTGCACACACACACACACACATTCACAAAAAAGTGTAATCCTGGGCCTGGGTTTATTCCCCCACAAATTTACACATTTATAATTCAAAACAATGCTTTAGTTTACAAACAGAACACTTGTTATTATCTGGTGTGAAAAGAATGGTGGCTGCTAGGAGCATTCACTGGGGATATTTTATTTACTCTTATTTAAACTCTCAGCAAATGTTCTACATTTTTCAATCAACTTATGAAATCAACAATCTAGTTGAGTGTCAGCTTTCCTACAAACCTTATAATATTCCTCATGTTTTATTCCTTATTGGTACTTTTAAACCTTTAAATCCCATTCCAAAAAATGTGACTCTTCCCCACTAATACAACTCATAACCCTTCAACTGCTTCTGGATAGAGATTCAAGCCAGCAATGCCGTTGTTGCCTCTTCATAAAAAATGTCCTCCTCTTTGATTTTTGTATTTGACCCAAATAGATCAGGCAGGTGACTAGGAAGAAAAAACTAAAGAAATAAAAAGTTGTTTTTCAGATTTAAGCAAAAAGCTTTTAATCTTTTATAAAGAAAATTGATACAGCAGTGATCATAACGATAGCAACAACAGACTCCATTTTTTAAAAGAAAAAAGAGTTCAAACTAATTAAAAATAAAGGTGGTGTTAAATTATAAATTCCTTCCTTGGTTTAGTTATTGCCACTGTGTTCAGAACACAGTGTGACTGTGTATGTGCTCAGCAGGAACTGGAGGTCCTGGTGAGCACATACACACATTCATACACACCTCTTTGTAGCGTGTGTGTGAGACCGCAGAAAGCCATCTCAAAGTGGTGCAGCGCAGTAAGCAGCCTGGCACATCCTGGTTTCTGAGCCTGACTGTATCCATCTGCGAAAAAAGAAAATTCTCACACGCCTCACAAATGATTGATGATTGTTTACCAACTGCTGCTGTCCGCATTGCGGTGAGCGAGCTATAGGTGCTGACGTGTGAAGTGTTTTTTCCCTTCTTATCCCCATCTGTAATTTACAACCAGTTGTGTGCATATCTTGGTAAGCTTCATCCGAACAGACTTCCCTCCCTGAAGTGTGGTGTTGTGGTTGTGCTGACTTGCCATTGACCTTTATGGCATCCCTCTTTGACAACTTCACTGACTGTGACGGGCTGTTGATTAGTGTGGGCGTGGCTGCGAGACTCTGCAGACAGCACTAATCACTCTGCTCGGGCAGAGGTTGAAAACGCGGCTGGATCTTTCAGGACTTATTGTCTTCTGTTACAACAAGACTGGGAGGCACTTAAACTCCAGGGGAGGCTGTCAGTGACCCGGGGAGCAGGACTCCATTGGCCAGCTGCAAATAGAGAGTGAGTGAGTGTGTCTGGCAAGCAGCCGCAGCAGCGTGGAGCGGGCAGCCTGCCTCTGACGATAGTGATGACAGGCAAAAAGTAATGTGTGTTTAACCTTTATTTATCCAGAGAAGATTTGACAAGCACCATTCATCTCTGTTCAAACAACACACGGCTTCACATTTATGGAGTGACGCGCTGTACATTCACACCTGGGACGTTTCTACCTGGACTCTGTAAGCAGATGAGGGTGAAGTGCCTTGCTCAAGTGCTACTGATGTTTAATCACTGTTCCAGATCCAACGTTTGAGATCAGAAGAAAATCACACACAACCAGATGTTCCTTTTTGTGCAACAGAAATAATGAAAGTCCACAGATTCATTTATAATCAGTTAAATAAAATGCTTCAAGCTGTAGTGCATTTCATCAGGCTTGTAAAACAATACGAAACATTATGAACACATTTGTTGGGTTCAAGTTCTTTGTTCACATCATATGCGCAACAATTACACGTGGCAGTCATGGCAATACAATTCTTAGGCCTCAGGCACTCTCCAACAATGCTCATTAAGTATCTATAAAAATTGAAGTAATTCAGTTGAAAGCAAAATCTGTATCTAAGACATAAGTTATTGCAAGTGCAAGTTAGTATTGCAAATGAATAGTATGAATGTAAACAGTGCTTAAGGTGCATAATGAGAATGAATGAGGGGGAGCTTGATACACGGCAGCCATCTTCAGTGCCAAGTTTAAAGGGTTTTGTCATAAAGTCATAACTTCTGGTTTATATCAAATCTATATTTTGACATCACGTGCTTTACACACATAACATTAATTGCATTATATGATTCTGTCCTCAGTTATATAGATATATTTATTTTTGTTCAGCAGAGTTAAAACAATAGGAACGTTGTAATAACGAAATAACAAATGTACCGATTACAAACATTTAAAAAATGCACAACAATAACATCACATTAGTGCATCTCAATATAAAGCTATATATATATATTATTGTATACCTTTTGCCTACATTGCACAGGTGAAACTTGAGTGGGAGCTGCTCGTATCTTTGAAACAATGCTTGAACCAATTTCATTAAAAGGAGCCTCTCGATGGGCAGATTTGATCCCTTCCTGCCAGGTGATCAGAGCTGTAATCTAAACCTTTATACCAGCGCTGACCTGTGATGAACCCACCCTCATCTCAACCTCTGAATCCCGTTCTGTTCCCCTTATGGCACAGCTCTTCTCTTTGGCATCCATCTCCCGTCTCTGGCTTTAACCTAAGCTGTGGAAATGAAAGTGCTTTGTGGATAAGCGGTGTACTCCAAGGCGTTATGAGTGTCTAGGCTGAAAGTGCAGATGTGGCACTAGAGAGGGAAAAAGGTCAAGAGATATGTAACAATGCCACATAGACCTTCTTTTGTTTGCAAGACATAGACACGCATTTCAGCTATTTTGTGTTTTGTCAGTGATTTGTTTTGTTATTTAAAGCTGTCATTAATCTTTTACAAGTGCCTCTGTACCCTCTGCTTTATATTTCTCCTATTTTAACATATACTTGTAGATTAGTGCCATGATATCTGTAGCTGCCACCAGCATCCATTATTTAGCATCCACAAAAGAAATGCCACATTCTTCTGTAATTGTTGTGACAGCTTAGTCAACCGTTGCTAAACAATGGCACTCTCACCTCATAAACCAACCAACCAGACAGCAGCAAAAAATACTTGAACACAATCAAACCTTCAAAAACAAGTAAGTGTCTCCTCACTTTGTGAATCTGAGAGACTGCTGTGTACTTTATATTTAACCTCATCATACAGTAGATAGCACGGACCACATTATGAGTGTGGGGATTGTACAGACAGCTTTTCAGGAAATGGGTTAATATGGTTGACACACAAAGCCATGACCATACACCGGTTATGAAAAGAGACTTGTTGTGAAATCATTACGTAAGCCAGGTTGTTTGTGTTGCTAAGACGAAGGGTTGGGGTCTGTTAATTAAAAACACAGGTTGAGTGAAGCTTCTTTTTTAGTGTTTTTGTTTTGCATTCAGTGCAGCTTTGACAGTTCACCACCGAATCAAAAATACATATTGTTTTTCTTTCAGGCCATAAATGCCTGTCTTGTGAATATATAACAGAACTATGTGGCACTTGGCTTGTTAGGGTCAAACCACAATCTTGTTGTGAGTAGTTTTCTTTTAGGAACTTACTATGTTCTCTCTTTCTCTTCCACTCGGCAACTCACACAAGAAAACTAGTTTGAAAAAAAGCTGTTTTTGGCAAGAAGAAATGTATGGATTGTTATGAAGGTTTATGGTGCAATCAATGTTTTTACTACTAGCTCATAGTAATGTATCCACAGAAACTAGTTTTCCGCTCTACAGAAAGATTTGGTGTTTTAAAGTGACTGTTTCAGCTGTCTGGCCGGCGACTTTACTGTTTCAGTTTAATATCACTGCTTATCAGCTCATTCAGCCATAACAGGCAGCAGGTTTCAGCAAAAACAAAATCACACTGTTCACGACCTGCAAGCCAGATGCTTCTAGTATGTCTGTGTTAAAGAGAACTGTAAAAAAAAAAATTGAATTAACTTCAAAGCACATCTATCAGTTTTGATTTGTTGCTCCAACACACATATTTCAGAATATTTGACTAATCTTTGTTTTTTGTCACGCTTTTCTTCAATAGGCTGAACTGCACTCCCTGTGCAGGGCTCTGTCCGAAGGTGTGTATGGGTCTGAAGACGGTCGACTCTGTGACGGCGGCCCAGGCTCTGAGAGGCTGCACGGTCCTCAACGGGAGCCTCGTCATCAACCTGCGTGGAGGAAGTGAGTATCTGTGCTGTAATCAGATTACAATATACAACAGAACAACAATAGGAGACGTTATTAAAAATAAACCAGATTGTAAATTGAAATAAAATGAAGTTTCAAATCTGAGACCACTCAACAAAAATACATCAATAAACATTAATGAACAGATAAAAAGGTCAACACAAATGTAAGGGGTTTGCATGATTTTGTGTGATTAAAAGGATGTTTTGGTTCTTTGTCCTTTCTCTAAGAAAAGGCAAGAAGCTAGGTGTAGATTAACACACAATATTTGTATCAGATTTTTAGCACATTTAACGTACCATTAGCATAAAGACACATTGGGCATGAACAGTGTATGACATTTTATAATGAAAATGTCTAAAAGTTTATTTGATTGTAAACAATAATGTCAAACAGCTTATTTTTATTTTGCCAAAAAGAAAGCTGGGATGAACAAAAAAAAGGAATTGAAAACAGAGATCAGTTTGTTGCCAAACAACAGCTGCCTGAGGAGCTTCAGCACTGAGCATGCTGTGGAAGCACAGGTCACTTCAGGGCTTTTTCTTCTGGTTTTCTGCAGACAACATCGCAGCTGAACTGGAGGCCAGCCTGGGCCAGCTGGAGGAGATCACTGGATACCTGACAGTGAGACGTTCCTACGCCCTCGTATCCCTCTCGTTTTTCCGCAAACTCCGTGTTATTCGTGGGGAGGAACAGGAAATCGGGTGAGTCTCCTTCTTCTGAGCCTCCTCTCATCCTCGCCATGTCACAGCCTCTGCCTGTAATTATGAGTTAAAAGCGGAAGGACTGACCTTTTTCAAAATGTCTTTCTGTGGTAACTGTTTTTTGTTGATGTTCCCAAATCATATATGAGGTTTGATTCAGTCGAGGTGGAAGGCACTTGCAGCACATTGGGCTACACTTAAGCATGGCATATGATGCAAAATGTGGGCTAACCACTCTCAGACACTTTTCAATTTTTCATATATTCCTCAGCTAAATCCTACGCATCGTGAAGGATATGTTTCATGCAATTTTGTGTGTTCTTTTCCAGAAATTACTCGTTCTATGCCCTGGATAACCAGAACCTGCGGCAGCTCTGGGATTGGTCCAAACACAAGCTGACCATCCTTCAGGGACGCATGTTTTTCCACTACAACTCCAAACTCTGCATGTCGGAGATCCGCAAGATGGAGGAGGTGTCGGGGACCAAAGACCGGCAAATCAAGAACGACATCGCCTCCAAGACCAACGGAGACCAGGCCTCATGTAAGAACCTCTGAAAACATGGCAGCTGTTACAGGAGTCACTATGGCAACAGACGAGTCGACTCTGGTACAGACACAAACAGAGTCCTAGTTATTGTTATGATGGTCATTTCCTGTTCCTATATGTTTACTGATGGATTAACTGGGAACAACCAACAGAGCAAAGCAAAGAATAACTGTTGACATGGTAACAGTGATATAGGTTTTGTCCTATTTGTTGTTTCTGTCTTTAACGACATATTCTGATCTAGTTAGGTGACAGTGAGCAGGGATGAGTTTATACTGTTTCATTATAGATTGAGACAAGGGGATAATCTTTTATATGTTTTTGATACTTTTACTTTTAAAATAAAAGAGACTCAGGGTTCCAACGTGTCCTGGAAAACATTTTTAGTCAGGGAAAAGAGCGAGAAAGTCAAATGTCCTGGAAAATCATGTGGAAAATTATTTCAACTTTGCACCGTTTTTTTTCTTCCGCTTAGAATGAGCTGTAACAGAAAAACTGAAAACATTGTTATCTGAAAAGGTGACGTTGTGTTCAGGATCATATCACTGTTTCCAATGGTAGTTTATGAACAAGAGTATTTCCAATAGGCTGCCCCTACAGTATGTTGTAATGTGAACACACCCACAAGTCACATGATAGCAGATTGGATGGCATTACAGGGTGATGCTTTCTTCTACACTTGTTTTAAACGGTTAAATATAGTTCAGTTGCTAAAGTTGGGGTGCTTGCTAGCTTGTTTTGCGTGCAAGCATTTAGCAGCCGGGTCATAACAGCAAACTGGAGCCCAACTGTATACCGGCAGTGGCTCAGTCAGTAGGGGCTTGTACTGGGAGCCGTAGGGTCGCCGGTTCACGTCCCTGACCAGACCTAAAAATGGAGTGTGGACTGCTACTTGGAGAGGTCCCAGTTCACCTCCTGCCCTGTCGTGGTGCCCTTGAGCAAGGCACCGGACAACCCCCTCCCCCCCCCCCACTCCCATTGCTCCCGGGCGCTGTACAATAGCTGCCCACTGCTCCTAGTACTAGACTCCTGGTACGAGGATGGGTTAAAAGCAGAGAACACATTTCACTGTGTGCTGTGTGCTCTGCATGTGTGACCATTAAAGAGGGTTTCATCCCCCCCAATATTATTATTAGTCAAATACAGGATTAATACTTGCTATTTGTAAATGGTAGCTTTACAATGAAGTGCTGTGCTTTTGTAAGAGATAAGTTATAGCCATGTACTCCAATTTTTATTTTGGTTCTTTTTTTTGTTGATCAGGTGAGAACCATGTGTTGAGGTTTACCCAGATCCGAACCATGAGCGATAAGATAATGGTCAAGTGGGAGCCCTTCTGGCCTCCAGATTTCAGAGACCTGCTGGGCTTTATGGTGCTCTACAAAGAAGCGTAAGTACATTTTAAATCCATCTTTAACATTCAGACCTAGATCTCTGCCAGACAAATATTTTATTAGCTGCCATAGTACATTATATTTAAGAGAAATATGAATTGAATCAGATCAGATGAATTTTGGATGGTGTTAATGGCAAAACACTTGATATAACATAACTACTCTGTTACTGTTTACAATATTAGCCTGGTACTTTACTCAATAACATCAAAACATCTAAAAGGGTCTCTTCAAATAATTACACTGAACTGACTAAGAAGTCATTGAAGGAAGCATTTTAGATTCAGATGTAAAATTCTCTGCCTGCAGTAGCATTACCACAGAAACTAATATGAGGTCACCTGTTGGCTTTAGTGAAGCACCAAACAATGAACTGGACATCAATCCTGCAATATATTGTATCACTAGGTCATGCAGGTTGAGTTTGAATGAATTTAAAGGTATTATTTATTTGTATTCAATAGTTTTGGACCTTTTATTAGTTTTTTTTTAAATCCTGTTTCAACCGTCTCTTCTGCCTCAAGAGATGTTTTGGAAAGCTTTTTACCTTCACTGCCTGGCCAGATATATTCCATGATAAATGGCTGTAAAACATCAAACTGAAACTCAATATCCTTTTCTCAACTGGAATACAATTTAAGCCTGCATATAACTTTTTTTTTTCTATCATCTACTGTTATTGTTTTTCCCCAAAATAGAACTTTTCAGAACGTAACTGAGTTTGACGGGCAGGACGCCTGCGGCTCCAACAGCTGGGTGATTGCTGACGTTGACCCTCCGCGCCGGGCCACAGAGGGGGACAAGGAGCAGTTTGAGCCAGGTCATCTCATCCTGCCTCTGAAGCCGTGGACGCAGTACGCCATCATGGTGAAAACGCAGCTCTCAGCCTCTGACGAGCACCAGGTCCACGGAGCCAAGAGCGAGATCATATATGTCCGCACCAACGCCACCAGTAAGACTGATTTACATCTGTGTTGTTCACTGGATATAAAGTTAAATACTCCGCCGATTTATTTGAAATCTCTGGATTATTTATGTGAATAACAGATAAGCTGTTTAAGAAAGTGAAAAAAGATGGTATCAGTAAAGGCATGAGGTTACAGTAACGGACATGAACAATTATTATCATCGAGCAATCTCTTAAAAGAAAATTAATGTTCGAGACACGTCTTCCTCTATTAAAAAAACGAGTAAAAATCTCAAACTTCAAACCAAATTCTTAAGGTTATCAAAAGATGCGATTTGTTAAATAATTTTTTGCAAAAAAAAAACCTTTTTCTTTGCTGGATTTTGACTTTTTTTTAGGGGTTGTCTGGAATCCACATTTTGTGTGGTGTCACTATCATTGACTGGTGCACTCCAGTGTTGTGTGTGTCAGTCTGTCAGCTCAAAAAATGTCCTTGGCACAAGAACAGGGGAGAGGCAGACAGATGGCACGATCCGCTCGGGGCGCCATCGACCGACGCTGTGCTACCTCGTGCAGCAAGGTGTCTGCAGCAGGCGGTCACGCCACGATGATAAATCTCTTCCCCAGAACTTAATTGTACTCTGCCACCCACGGTGTGCATCGTGTACAGATGAATTTGTCGTAGTCATGATGGCCTGTCTAACCGGCTTCCTTTTACACAATGAGCTTCCTGATAAACCGCATCAAACATGACATCCTTCGCTCACACAACAGGCTTCCAGCAGCAGACACATCACTCACTCAGTCAGAGATGTCGGGAGGGTTGTTTTTTAACGGTCTGGCAACCTCCCCGGTTCCTGGTCTGTCTCGTGTCTAACCAGAATACCTCTTCAGAAGGGCAAAGCTGTCATTACGAATAAGCTGCTACTGGTGAAACTTAGTCTGACAATGCAGTCGGACCAGTGTGTGGCACCGTCATGAAACGGGGACAACACGATCACACTGTCTCCTCAGGGTTCAGTCTGTCGTGCTTCCTCCCGTTCATTCCCCTCTTCACGGTTTCTGTTCAGTGATATTTCTATCGTCTCTGAACTCCTAATCTACCTCAGGCCGGGACGCTGTTAAGATGTAAGGTGTTTTTTTTGCCTCCCACTCGAGAATCTGATTCATACGTCTACTTAAAAGACGGCTCAGCAGACTGACAGCTATACGGTGATGCCAGTCTGTGTTCCCGCCACATGTAGCTGGTGACCTCTTTTTGTACTCTGTACTGCACAGAATACACACTTTGTAATCAGCTGTCCATATTTGCCGCAAATCAATGATCACAAAACTTGTTAGATAGACGCTAAATACATTTTGTCAGCTACATTTGATTTTCACAAACAACAAGCAGTTAGTGCAAGAGTTCCCATACTGCTATTGCAAATCACACTGACGCATGTTTATCATGCCTCTTGCATTAGTGGAGCTAATCTGTGTTCACTAAGTAGGCTCAAATTAGGAATAGAACATTCATCTTAACATGCAGTTTGTTTTGCAACTGGAAATTACACGTAACTTTACAGTCGTGAAATGATACTTCAATTTCACTGATGCACCTCAAACTGCAAAGGATGCATAATTGTGAAAACCAAGGTTAATACAGTCAGAAGAATAACATTTTAAAGAGTTAAACATTTGAATCAAATGTAATATTGATCACCTTAAAACAATTAGGAGAGAAATTGATAACTACAAATGTATTTTCTTACACCATCATTTTTTAAATATTCAGTATATTGAATGTTTTTTTTTTATAATATTAGTTAATTGACCCATCAACATTTTATGATTTTATATTTGTATTCATAATTAAACTTATTTTTAAATAGTTTTAACAGGTGTACCCTATTCCTCACAATTGTGTACATGTTTGTAACTGTTTGTAAAAAGTGTATTTATGTGCTTTTTTTGTCACATTTTAATCAACGATTATGCGTGTGCTTTAAGAAGCCCTGCTGAACATCAACCAATCCCACTTGTTAAACCTCTGTATTCCTGTGATCTCTCCTCAGAACCCTCTGTCCCGCTGGACCCCATTTCCTCGTCCAACTCGTCCTCCCAGATCATCCTCAAGTGGAAACCTCCCAACGACCCCAACGGTAACATCACCCACTACCTGGTCTTCTGTCAGCGGCAGCCGGAAGCCATCGAGCTCTACAAGTTCGACTACTGTCAGAAGGGTGAGCCGCATTGTTGTGGTCGTCTGTTGTTGTGTCTGAGTTTATGGTTTGACTGTCGAAGAGCAAGAGAGAGGAGGAATGTCTTCTGTCATCTTCACATTACTAGAAAAGCTCCTCCCACTCAACAGCATTTCAAGCTCTTAACTGCTTCCGATGACCCCAATAGGTCGCATGACATTTTAAGTACATATTAACTCTGGGGTGTGAATCTTAATGCATCTCCGTTCATCAGTTCGATTCCAATTCAAAAGGCTATGATGCCTTTATAAATCAATTATCGAAGCATTATAGGTTTTGCAGATTTTGTTGCTACTTTTTAAATAGTTTATTTTTTTTACATTTAGCCATCTTAACCATGACTCAAGAAGTAGCCTTGAGTCATGTAGTTGGTTCAGCCACGAGGAATGAGAGCCCGGTCTTACGGGAGAGTTTAATATTTCAGCTCATTGACTTGTCTACATAAAGACCTACTTTTAACGGCAAACATCCAAAACTAAAACAATACAAAATGTATAAACAACCATCAAAAGCTTATCCCCATTTTCTTTATATATTTCAGAGTTCCCGTTAGCCGGTAATTACCGGACTATGACCGGTAAAATATGCTGAAGACCGGCAAATCTAAATCTCTCCGGTCAAAATGTCCGGTCAAAATTGTTTCCCCTTAGCGCAATACCGCATCAGTTGCGCCACTTATGTGACAGACAAGAAGAGTATGTGACAGACAAGAATAGTATGTGACAGACAAGAATAGTCAATTATAATGTCTACACTTAATGTGGAGAAAGAGATGTCCTGTATGGGTTGATTGTGCGTTGATCTGTTGGTAATGCCTCCGGTGGGCATGTAAACAAATGCATAATGCTGCGCTATACTTTGTGGCCTCACCCGGTTGCATAGCGACGCTTATTGTTTAGGTGTCTTTTAATAAGCAGGTAGTCATATCATTAGCTAGAACTAGCTAGATCTGATCGATATGGACACAAACGCGAGTAAAGTCTAATCTGACGGGAGAGAGAGATCGGCTGCTGCTGACGAGTCGACACGCAGCTCTGCATGATCCCCTGCAGCGGTGAGCGGAGCAAAACACACTTCAGGTTAGAACATCACACGTAGCTATTTTAATTACCTCTCAAACTACCTAAACTAGTTATAGATATGTTTAGTTTTACTGTCGGGTTACTCATTACTGGATCCGCGAGCTGCATGATATTGGCGTGTTGTCAGGAGAGGGGGAGAGAGCGCTCCGTTTATTATTCCCGTGTTATTGTAAATTACTGTACACTTTTGAATAGTTAATTAATCTACTATAATTAGTTTGTTTAATATCGAATCATATCAATTTGTTTCAAAGCTCAATAAATAACATAGAAGACCTTTGACCGGCACTTTTCAAATTTTGTCCGGAAGATTTAAACTGTAACGGACCTGTTGACCGGCAAATAATTATTCTAACGGGAACTCTGATATATTTGTTTGCTTACTTCATGTACATAAAACAGTATTAAGTTTGAAGAAACTCCTACAAATCACATTTTTAAAAGCTTTCATTAGCTGTACATGCCCCTGGCCGATCTGGAAGAGTGGCTTGTCTTTTTTAGAACATTCAAATCACCAAAACTGGAGTTAATAAATGCCAATAGAAATATGTCAAAGAAACAGTGTTCATGGTGTCTCAGCAGGAAGGACAAACAAGGGCAAGAGAAAAGCATTTATGGAAAGGTTTTATCTATCAAACATAGTGGCACATTTGTTTGAGTTGAACCAAGATCTAATCTCTACCCTTGACCGAGAAAATCTAGTGCAGTTAAGGTGATCTCTTTATTTGCTTAGTATTATTTCGACTAATGTGCGTGAAACCTGGCACTGGATCTTCCCCTCACTCTGCCTCAGGTTCAAGCTAAGTTCAGACATCTATCTTGCTTCAGTTTTTGCCTGACCTTCACGGATGCACTGCCATCAGTTCCCGACAATGTTTGCACAAAACTGAGCCCAAACTTTCCTCTTCTGAACTCCCATATCTCCCTCACATCCTGGAGAGATACGGAGCTTACACACGGCGGCGTGCGTTGAAGCTTGCCGGCGGACATGTCTGAAGCTAGACCAACAACCAATCATCTGAATCTCCCGCCCCGGACACACAAGCAGCGGTTTGATTGGCTAGAGCTTGTACTGGCATATGATTCGATTGGCTGACGCTTCCGTCGAAGCTTCAAAAGTAGAACATTGCTCTACTTTTGAAGCGAGCAACGCTTTGCTCCCACAATGCAGTTCGGCGAAGCGTGACGTCACCCCATTCAAAGTGAATGGGCAGAAGCGTTGAAGCTTCAACGCACGCCGCCGTGTGTAAGCTCCGATAGGAGTCAGTAGGGAGGTAGTGTCACTGGTAATTTATCTCAGAGACAGGGTGAGGACTCGGTGATGACAATGACAGACTTGCCCCTCAGGCTTGTGCCAGTGTGTACGTTGATGTTTGTGCATAAAACATGTCTGTGTTTATTGCACCAACAATCCCATTCACTCCCTTGTTCTGTTCACCAGGGATGAAGGTGCCGTCTCGAGTGCCCACTCAGGTGGACAGTGACGAGGAGCAGAAGTGGAACCAGACGGAGGATCAGGGCCAGGGGACGCGATGCTGCGGCTGCCCCAAGACCGACAAGGAGCTGAAGAAGGAGAAAGAGGACTCGGAGTACCGCAAGACCTTTGAGAATTACCTCCACAATGAAGTCTTTGAGCTCAAGTAAGACAACTGACAGCAGAGTACTTCTTTTAAGAATTAAACGTAAGGAAAATGTAGTGTTCCCTTTATTATTTATGAAAGTTTTCCTCAAGGGAAATGCTTTTTACAGTATTTTTTGTTTGATTAACTCAGAGATCTATTTGTTTTCTTTGTCTTCATGTTGTCAAACTCAATACACTTCAACATTGATTTCCATTTAGCTTCCCACAAAACATGTTCCATCTTGTGTTTGCTATTTGGATCCTGCTGAGCACTCTTATATAAGAGAGTATGAGTATTTGTGCTAAAGCAAATCATGTTAATACATTCTTCCCTATTATGTCTTGTATTAGTGTCACTACTACACTGAAACTAGCTAAATATTTCCTGCAGACCCTTCTGCTTATCAGTTGTATGGAAACGGTAAATATAATTGTAAATGCATCCTTGAACTGTCCTGTTTTGCAGTCAATTCAACTAAGTGAACTAACGTGTATAATACAGGGTGATACTAGGAAATAAGTCGTTCTCACAAAGAGTTGTCCACACTTTCAAATTCAAAGGCGTTTAAAGTTGATCCAAATATCGCACCGGTCATCTTCATAGAGAAAGTGAAACCCAATTTAATAATGGAGCTTAAAGCACATTTTTAGACAATTTCTCCTGAAAAACACTAATGGTGTTGCTCTCATACACACTAAAAACGAGACAAATGGTTGTGTAATTTAAAACAAAGGAACTAGAGAAAGAAGGTTAAACGTAACTCCTTTTCATCGCATCACAGCTAGCCAATTACGTTGTCGAGTGCTTGTGAAGGTCACTTTCAGGAAGTGACAGACTTTGTCAGACACAGGTTTGCAAAGTTGCAAGCAGATCCGACATCTTTTTAATTTCTTGTACATTTTGCCTTGCCTTGTTTAGAGGCTCCAGACAGCGGCGGTCTGCGATGGGCATCGCCAACCGAACCCTCCCCTTCCTCACCACCGCCCCCAGCCCGCCCCACGGCACAGGCACCCCCGAGGACGGGGAACCGTTGGAAAGCATAAAGACGGTCGTCACCGTCCACGCCAAGGAGTCCACTGTCATCTCCCACCTGCGCCACTTCACAAGCTACCAGATCGAAGTTCACGCCTGCAACCACCCGACCGACCCGGCCCGCTGCAGCATGGCGGCGTACGTCAGCGCCCGCACCATGCCTGAAGGTAAGGAGGCACCTGGAGCTCTCAAACAAAAAATGAACATCAATGAGTTTCTACCTGGAGATGTTGGTTATTCTCACAAAAGGTGGCTTTTCATTCCCTCCACATAAATGTTTTCTCACCCTCGGTAAAGAAAGAAAAATAGTGGTTAAGTGAAAGAATGTCATCAGTTTGTTGGGCAACAAACTGATTTTTTATTTTGGTAACACCTTCGACTCGTTCATTACAAAGATGATTTTGTACTGTGTATTGGAATTTCTAAAATATTTGTTGAAAAACTCAATAAATTGGGACCTTGAGCTTTCTTTAGAGAACATTCTGCACTTGTAGGAATAACCAAAAAGTCCAACTAACAAAGAAATCATACATTTCTTACCGTCCTTTCAATTCAAACCACCTTTTGTTGTCATAACGACATAAGAGTCCATTTGTTTACACATAACATTTTGTTTAGCATTGCAATCCATCCTGTCAAAATACATGCAACAAACTCCGCGATCCCATCTTTGTCCTTGTCCATAATTTAAAAAAAACGTAACACTATTCTAAAAGACACGGGGAGCCATGGGAGCGTAGGTAAAACTATAATGATGTCTGTTTTTCCGTGTGAGCAGAGGAGAGTGATAGAGAGAAAAATAAAAGTATTCCTACTGGATACTCATACATCTCATCCTCTATTTTATCCACACAAACCTGGGTTTTGCTAGAAATATGATTTATAAGACAATGTGATTTTGTTCTCCCCGCAGACAAAGCCGATAACGTCTTGAGTCCCATCAACTTCGACGTGACAGAAAATGCTGTGCACATCACATGGCAGGAACCAAATTCTCCCAATGGCATGATCATCCTGTACGAGGTCAACTACAAGAGACTGGGAGATACTGAGGTGAAGACACACACACACACACACACACACACACACACACACACACACACACACACACACACACACACACACACACAGTGTTTTCAGTGGTTGGGTCACCGAGTACATGAGTTCACTGCAAGTTTACAACAGCACATAAAAAGTTATTCAGTCACAAAGCACTTTTTATATTTCCCTTTCTCATTTGTCTAGCGAGCCGCTAATGAAAGACAATTTCACCGAGAATCAAATGTAATGCATCCATCTTTAAACTGCCCATGCAACACAGACAAATAAGAGAGGCAATACTTATTACTGGACTTGCATTTTGAATTTGTGGTTTCACTAATGTGATTTGGGTGATAAAGTTAATGGAAAAGTAATTTTAGAGTTGCACCATGTTTCAGTTGCTATGGAGACAGGTCTATAAAACATCTGGCTGATGCTGCAGACTGTTATTCGCTGTGGAAAACAAGAAAAGACATGGATGCTTTCCACAGTGGAAATATGAAATAAAACTTTAAATCCAATGCAAGTGCAATTGTTTTTTTAAACTGGGAAAAGGATGAAGCATTGGTTTGTCATTTATTGTTCACATCTCTCAGGTCTTAATGTGTGCACATGTAAAAATGTGTCTTTGATTCTGTGTGTATATATATACATATTTGCACACATATTTTTATATACATTTGTTTTTATTTTCGGGATTGTGGGAAACGGTATTTCGATCTCTCTGTCTGTACACACAAACTGGAAGATTGACAATAAAGTTGACTTTGACTTTGACTTGACATCTGAACCTCGGCGTTGTTCTCCTGCAGGAGCTGCACTACTGCGTGTCCAGGAGCATGTTCAGAGAGACCCACGGCTGCAGGCTGAAAGTGATGCATCCTGGGAACTACACAGTAAGGATCCGGGCCACGTCTCTGGCCGGTAACGGATCCTGGACCAACCCCACGCACTTCTACGTACAGGACGCAAGTAAGTCTGCATCTGACGTGAAGGCAAACCAAACCAAGACATGCATACATCAATATGAGTCTATTCATATTTTTTTACAATCAAGTATTGCTATTTGACGTCTCTTAAATGCAAAACCACACAGGACAGGATTTACAAATAAGTTTGCACAGATTCACACATTTTTTACTCAGTTTTTAATTCTATCATTTGACCGCACAGGGCTCCGTAGAAATACAATATTTTTTCTGAAATGTAACTTTAGTTAATTTGATATTTTATGAGATTAGTTTCCACCAGCAGCACACTTGATGAGGAGTCCATACATGGAACATTTGATTAGACATCAATTTGAATGTATGCAAAAGCAGAAGATTAAAATGCAGATGTCCTCTCAAGCATTACATCGAGATCAAAAGATGCTGCAAGTTGTACTCGTGTATGTTCACAGAGCCAGATATTGATCCTTGAGCTGCAGCTCGCTGAGGGTTTCATAAGAGCTTGTTGTTGTTCTTACCTGAAATGTGACTCACTCTCTGTGTGTTGAACAGGCGATCCTCTCTACGCGTTGAAGATCATCATCGGACCGATCATCTGCTTTGTGCTGCTGCTGTTCGTGGCCGGCGCAGGATTTGTGATGTTCAAGAAGAGGTACGGAATCAGTACATCCTGTTGTTGTCATGCATTATCCTATTATGATATATTTATTCAAGTAAATATTGTTGTTTTTCCTTTTAGTCAAACTCAAGGACCTAGTGGTCCAATCTACGCCTCTTCTAACCCAGAGTACCTCAGCGCTGCTGACGGTAAGCAAAGAGCCATTTCATCAATAATATAGAAGCTTACTTATGTCCTCTTTAATATGCTCGCACATGACACAGTCTGATTGGATTTCCAAAACAAATACATTTGTCGGAATAAGTCCAAAACCTTACTCTACAGAAAAACATGCCCAATGATCTCTTCAGTCCTTCATCGTGTAACACTAACCAGATGTCTTTTAAAATGTATGCAAAATAACATCAGATTTGGAAAATGCAGTGGGATAGGATAGAAATCTGATTACTGATCAATTGCATGATCACATTATCCAATTTCTTGTTCTAACCAACCTTCGTAAGGTCCTGTGAACTCAGTCGTTATAAGCTGCATGTGTAACGTGTTCCTGTAAAATGTGCCTGCAGTGTACGAGGAGGACGAGTGGGAGGTGCCCAGGGACAAGATCAACATTTTGAGGGAGCTGGGGCAGGGCTCGTTCGGCATGGTGTACGAGGGAATCGCCAAGGACATCATCAAGGGCGAGGGGGACTCACACGTGGCAGTGAAGACGGTGAACGAGTCGGCTAGCCTGCGGGAGAGAATCGAGTTCCTGAACGAGGCCTCGGTCATGAAGGCGTTCAGCTGCCACCATGTGGTAAGGAGAGACGACATGTTCTGAAACTCACCTAGCACTTAAACACAGAGCTTTTTGGTTACTGATACGTAAAAGTGCAATGTAGGGTGTGAATCAATGAAGCCCACAGAAACGTTTCAACTGTCCATATGTAGACACCAAAATGATCCGAGAAGGATATTTTTTTTTATTCTATTTCAGTTTAGATTTTTCGATTCGATGTATTTGTTATGGTCTGTTTTTGTTAGTGCCAGGCATAATGTCTGAGTAGTATATAGATACATATACACACAAAATACATGGTGTGAGAACTGTGTAGGGATGGCCATAAAGGTAAAATATTTTTGCTAATCAAGTTAAATTCCCTAGTTGGTTACATTGGACTTGAGACTTGAGAAAAGTGATGAATTTTAATCTCCTGGAATATCAAGTCAGTTCAATTTCAGTGGTTCAATGTCGAGAGAATTGACCTGAATTGAAAAGCTGTCTTCTATAAAAAAATATGTTTTATGACAAACTTTAATTTGATTTTCATTAGTTTATTTAACCAGGAAATAATCCTTTATTATTGTTTAAGGATATGGTCTATTATCTAGTACAAAAACATTTTTTACTGCCTATTTTTGTTTAAGTTTACAACAAATAACCCTGATCTAGAATAGTAGGCGCTAACTGTCTCACCTTGCAGAGTCCAGACCTACATATAGCTGTGTGAAGGGCAGCAGAGTCACCTTGCTGTTACCAGACCAGTTGTTTGTTAGATAAATGCATAATGCAAACAAGCCAGACTATATATCAAAATAAAAGAACCCTTCTTGTCCCCACAGGTGCGTCTGCTGGGTGTTGTGTCCAAAGGGCAGCCCACCCTGGTGGTGATGGAGCTGATGACGCACGGAGACCTGAAGAGCTTCCTGCGCTCTCTGCGACCCGACGCTGAGGTGACGCTCATATCTGCTTTTAGCTTTAGTGAACATGCAGAAGTACTCGTATCTTCTGCCATGCACTTCTTTTTCTTTTTCTAATTTCTGCTTTATGTAGATAAATGGTGCAGTACTTTTTCTTATCTGTAAACACATTTCAGATTTGTTCCTTTCTTGTTTCCTTTTAGCTTCTGCATTGGAAATCCTGTTTACTGTTTTACTCGAATTTAGAGAAGTTAGGACCTCCTTCTGCACTTTATGATTACTGATATTGAAAAGTGCTTTATAATACACTTTACTTAACATACTTTACATGTAAAAGCGCAGTTTCTCCCTTAAACTGCTATCGTGGATAAAGCCACAGATGTTCAAACAGAGAACAATTTCAGTGTTTAAATTAACCAACAGTTAAGTTAACACAATAAGTAGGAAGTATTTTCTGAGGACAAATGTGACCCCATCTGCTGGTTTCCTCCCAGACAGATTGTGGTGGATTCACGACTAATCCCCTAATATAATCGGATCATAATACGGATCGTCACACTAGTTTTACCTACCGTACCTTCAAATTAACCACATTTTGTGTCCGACCTTCAATTGTTTTGTATTTGTGTACAGATTATTGTGTACAGACTAGCTTGTACAAGTTGATTATCTATTTAAGTGTCATCTTCTGAAGTGTGTCAATATCCAGATGGCACTTGGAATGCAATAGAAGGAGGTTTAAGTTATTGGATGTTGGCAGAGGAGTTTAGCAGTCGGCACTTGGCAGCTGAAAACAGACTTGTTTGGAGACGAACAGCAGGTCTCCAAACTGACTGAAAAGGTTAGGCTCTCGTCTAAACTGCAAACCTCAGGTCAGCAACAACAGCAACACTGAGGCCACTGTCTGCTGGCTCCATCTGGTCCGAGCCCTAATGATCTAACAGGCTTCAAATATATATCAGAATCAATAAATAAACATCAATAAAAGACTAGAACATGCCATCAGAAACAAAAGATTCAAATAACAGTCATATTAAAAGAAAAAAAAGATAATAATGAAAATGATAAAACACTATGTATTAAATTATAGTAGTGTGGTGGTAGTGTTTTATTTGGCGCCACTTATATTTTGTCATGTGTATTGTCGTGAAAATAGACTTGAAGTGTAAATAAAGGCTTAATGTTGCGGTTTTGCACGTGAGACGCGAGCCTGCACGGAGACAGCTGCGAAGTTTAAAATGAGATCGTATCTATTGCATGAGTCGGCAAGTAAAAAATGCATATGACAAGCGTGCGGTCTTGACTTTTGAAGTTGTGTGTGATAATACATTTTTGGTTGTAATGAACCTGATTATTTTGACTTCATCCTGCGCAATCAAAGTTTCCAAATCACGTGTTGTTGACATGGAACACGGTGTGAATTTTTATGTTAGCAGATCAGATATTAAAAATCTGTCTTGTGTCCTTTCAGAACAACCCCGGGCGCCCGCCTCCCTCTCTGAAGGAGATGATCCAAATGGCCGCTGAGATCGCAGACGGCATGGCGTACCTTAACGCCAAGAAGTTTGTCCACAGAGACCTGGCAGCCAGAAACTGCATGGTGGGAACCGACCTCACCGTCAAAATAGGAGGTACGTTTTGGCAACAATGCAGGGTGGTTCTCACATCACTAGGACAGCATATTGAATTTGAAATAAGTATTTACCATTTGAGGAGCCATTTTTAACATGTAGTCAGAAAATTGCTGATGTATTTGTAAAAAAGGGTGGGGATTTTTTTTATAAATGTGTGGCTTTTATGACTTTATGCATCAATAATTGACAATGCTTGTTTGGCGAACATAAGATATTCCACATAAAGATAGATAAAGTTGTGTGGACTGTTTGTTTCTCTGGACATGCATGTACGTTGTGTTGAAATGGATACATTAGCTTGTTGATGTAGACTCTCAGTGGCTTTTGGTTTAGATTTATAACCATTATAACTTATATATTCATTATGTTTTCTTAATTAAACATGACTTATTTATGCAGAACAGACAACAAACCTAAACTAGCTCGCCTCAACAAAAGTATCAAGTTGAATTACATCTATTTATTCAACATATTTAACATAAAACACAGATTTCCAAAGCAGATTAAACACTCCAGGGACGAAGAAATCCGTAAAGAATAAGTGCTAAATTGTATTAGTGCCTTAAAAACATACCACTTTGTATCAAATCACATCAGTGTGAGTGTGTATGACTACAATCAATAACAATCTTTTCCTCGCAGACTTTGGCATGACGAGAGACATCTACGAGACGGACTACTACAGGAAGGGAGGCAAGGGGCTGCTGCCCGTCAGGTGGATGGCTCCGGAGTCTCTGAAGGACGGAGTCTTCACCGCAAATTCAGACTGCTGGTCAGTGACACCTCATTATGTGTGTGTGTTGGCGTGAAGATGCTGTACATGATATAACAGGGTGTTAAGTGACAGATGGAGTTGGACAGGAGATGTATATCTCAAGGATCAGGGTTTTTCGAGGACATTCATAAAACTTGATCATTTTTCATACATCGTCTTAAAAGATTCTGCAAGTGAAGAAAAATATACAGTAGGATCATCAGTAGCAGTTTTACCTTAATAAACAGACGTCATCATCATGTTACAAATATTAAAGTTCCTATCCTTCTTGATTAAACCCCTAAAAGCTAACAACACGTTTGTTCTAATGGCTTAGATGTTTCTCTACACATTTGCCCCATTTAGTATGTGTGTATCTATGATTATGCAAATCTGACTGATACTAAAACAGACCATACTCGCTGTGTCCCAAAGATAAATAGACGGAACATTGGTTGGCTTTGCTTTGTAGCAAAACCCATCTGTTTTTGGGAACACATTTAAAACAGTGCTCTGAAAAATGGCTACAGAAAACTAAGTTTAGCTAGAATATAACCATTTTTTTATTTCCACTGATAGCCCTGGTTTGACTTTGCAATAAGCTTATTATGGCAAAGTAGATTGAGAACCTGTGTGTGTGTGTTTGAGACCATCATTGTTACACTGCTGGCGTTGACTGCCTATTTCGCTCATGATATGTCTGGTAGTATACAGTATAAAAATAATAAGTGCATGTTAAATAGGTCTTTATCATATGAGATCAGATCATGAGTGTGTTCTGTAGCTAACCTGTTTTCATCTGACATTGTTTACTAGCATCGCAGCCTCCGCCCTCGGGCTCGCTGCGTTGAGTGTTTACAAACTGATTTCAGCTGTCAGGTGTCTAATTGGCTCGTCCTCTTTGTCCCTTTGTGGCTGTTGTTTGTCGTCCACTTGTATTCCAGGTCGTTTGGAGTAGTGCTGTGGGAGATCAGCACGCTGGCCGAGCAGCCGTACCAGGGCCTGTCCAACGAGCAGGTCCTCAAGTTCGTCATGGACGGAGGATACCTGGACCGGCCGGACAACTGCGCCGACAGAATGTGAGTACAAGAGATGGACTGAGAAAATATATTGTGATCATTTTCACTCGACTTGAGTATGTTAGTTGACATTGCTCAGTCACACAGATGTTCTTACTGTCTACAATAGAGCCTCAACAGGTAGTCAATATAACAGTCACAATTAGGGAGTGGGTTATATCCCGAAAAGTACAGAATTTCTGAGATTTTATTAAGTAAATTGATTAAAGAATAAAACTCAGAAATGTGTGACCTTTTCATATCGGATAATGTTTAAGACGAAAACTCATATATGCTCTTTTTCATTTATTTAAAAAACTTGTAAAACGAACAATTAACTATGGTGAACTAACAAAACTAACCCCGATCTCACTCTTTATCCTCCACCAGACACAACCTGATGCAGATGTCTTGGCAGTACAACCCCAAGATGCGTCCCGCCTTCCAGGAGATCATCGAGATGCTGCGCGAGGACCTGCATCCTTCCTTCCAGGAAATGTCCTTCTTCTACAGCGAGGAGAACAAGCCGCCTGAGAGCGAAGACTTTGACCTGGACATGGAGAACATGGAGAGCATCCCGCTGGACCCGTCGTCCTACTCCCAGAGGGAGCAGTGCTCGGACAGGGACGAGGCCTCCTCCATGGGCCTGAGGGGCAGCTACGAGGAGCACCACATCCCCTTCACACACATGAACGGGGGAAAGAACAACGGACGAATACTGGCCCTGCCGCGGTCCAGCCCCTCATAACATACTGTACACATCCCGTGCAAACACATCATTGCTATAGATTTGAATATATTTTTGTTTTTTGTTGTCATTTTATATATAGCACACTTTTATCACACTCTACAGGAGCCCCACAGTGCATATCTCAGGACCTTATTTTTCTCCTCCAATGCCACAAAACACACACTACAGCAAGTCCGCACACGGATGCCAGAAGACACTTTTTGTATTTAAGGACGGACCCTCCCGCGTCCCTCTCGTTCATGATTGTAGTTTATATACTGTATATATATATATATATATATATATATATATATATATATATATATATTGCCAAGTTTGTGCTAGAATGGGTGGATTAACGATTCAACTGTGAAACAAACTCTTGACAAACAAGAAGGCTGCTAAACCCCTCCCGAGTCCAGACTGTTTCCCCCTCCCCTTAATTCAGCAAGAAGCTTCATCCCCGGGTTGCTACGTATTTTGAAAAAAAGTGCCCTTCTATTTTGTCTGTGGCCTAAATCAGTTGTCATGGAACTGTGTCTGAGTCTTTGTACACAAGCGGATGACGAACTATGATTGAAAGACTTTGGGAACGCTGTTGGATGGTCAGATTCGGTCCATCGTCGAACAAACTCTTATCCACTGGAGAAGCTGGTTGAAGTGGCCTACCTCCTCACACTCTGCAGTATTCCAAAATGGCACACAGGATAAACACAGGACTTTTGTTGGGTTATATTTTTTAATTTTTATTTACGTCTCTTTCTTTTCCTTATTTTTTTTTGAGTTCACATTTACAGCTGAAGGATATTTAAACTGTTTTCAAAAACATGTTGGTGAACGAGTTCCTCAGATTGACCAATAGCTGCTTCTTTGGTATATTTTAGTGGGTATAGAAGATAAAAAATATATATATAAATATATATATATATGAATATATTGTTGATGTTTTTGTACATAGCTGATATGTTGTCCTTCTTGAGGTATTTACGATCATAGAAAATGTTTTTACATGTTAGTCTCTGTTTATTTTTTCTAATCCAGAAAATCCTACTAATTTGCTTTTTTTTGGACTCATGATCAACCAACAGCACTTGGTCTTTTTGCTACGCGATGCCTGGGAGTAAAGAGTGTTTGGCGTCTTCAGCTTAAGATGTCTGCCCGTCATATCAAGATCAAATAAAATAGTGCTGTAAATAAAGCAGCGAGGTGCATTCGTGAAGAGGCTCCTTCAGTTTTTTCTGATATGTTCCATTCTTTCATTGATACTGTTTTTCAAGTCAGTTCTTTGTTTCTTTAGGGAGTACTGAGATTGTTACGTGTGTGTGTATATAAAGGGAAGTTTGTGTTTTATGTCAGTGAGTATGGGAAGGTAAGAGTTTGTTCTCAACAGAGCCAGAAATGCAAACATACAGAGTAAACAAACTCGAGCCTGGGTGAGATGGGAATTTGGGAAAGGCCAACACAGATATTGATCTTTTTGGATATGAGAGCAATCCTTTGGCAGATTATTTTTGTTACACAACCACTCAACACTACAACCAATATGTTTGGCAATGAATGCTCAAATATGTTTTTTAGAAGATATTCTATTTTTTACATACTGATAATTTACTCATAATGATTAGGCTTTTAATTTGGAATACACTTGACCATAGTTGCAATCATTTAAAACAAGAAAGGCTAAAAAATAAATACAACTAAGTAAAAAAGAAATGTCCTGATAAGCCTATAAAATGTTTATGTACAGTAATTTTCCATGTGTATGTCTGCCAATACGCCTATAGTATTTAATAAAAACCTATCTCTAGGGAATAAGACTAATGCATTTATCAAATTGCATATATTAAATGCTATGTGCAGTAATGTTTGTAATTGTTTATCATGCTGGATGGCTGTGCCATTGTTCATGTTTTGGGGTTAGTACAATGATGCCACCTGCTGGACGCCAATATATGGAAACTACCCTCTACTGTATGTCAGGGGTGTCAAACTCAATTTCATCTCGGGCCACATTAGCATCATGGTTGCACTCAAAGGGCCAGTTTTATATATAAGACTATATAAAAATACATATATAAATATTTAATATATATAAAATAATGTATTATATGACATTATTGCCTCTGAATTGGATTATTATCGGATAGGGTAATAACTTCATAATTAACTATGTCTGAAAGCAGAGGTCTAATAATTGCAAGTCTCTTCAGTGAGCATTTGACAAAATGATTTAAAAAGAAAAGCCAAATTCTGGAAAAAAAGTCAAAATAAAAGAAAAAATGACATTTTGAAAAAAAAAGTGAAATTTTGAAAGAAAAAGAAAATTCTGAGAAAAAAGGCAAATTTGAGATGCATTGTGGGACATGTAGTTTATGGGCTACGTGCTTCTGTAAATTGGCATGTAACCGTATAATAAACATATTATATTCTTTGCTAGCTCTTGTGGGCCACAGAAAATGAAGTCACAGGCCGGATTTGGCCCCCGGGCCTTGAGTTTGACACCCCTGCTCTATGTGATGACATACTACATGGCCAAGCTTTGAACAATTTACATACGTATTAATCCTGCACATAACTGCACAATATTAAAAACACATTTAATGATGAATCCAGATATGAAAAACAAGTAAGCTTCGAGGAAAATTGGTTTAACACTTCCTTATCTATAGGGAGTTTAGATGAAGTCATGCATTACATGACATAACATTTACCTGATGCTTTTATCCAACACGACTCGCAATAAGAGCAATAAACCATACGCATGCAGGTAAAATAACTACCTTAACTAGAATTGTGACCGATTTAGTACATTCCATAAAAGCACAGGAGCTTGTAAATATGGTGTTACAGATTAGCTTCACTTACAATGTGTATTTGTATATTGAAAGAGTTTGGTTAGGGTTTGGCTGCTCTTATTATTCCTTTTACTGTTGTGAAAAGATACTTTTAACAAAGTATTTCAAAGTGTATAGTGATTTTCTTTGACAAAACTTTCTTAGCACCAAGTGTGGTTATAGGAGCTTTCAATTATAGCACACTCTCTTAACCAGCAGGTGGAGTCACCCACTTGTTATGAAATTGTAGATCCACGTAAAGGCAAAAAAAAACAAACACATGAATTCGTCAATTATAATTATTGAGGCATGTATGTGTGTTCATCACTTTAATGTTGAAGCTGGTAAAGGTGAAGTTAATTTAATTTGCTTTATATACTGCTGGGTATATTAATGTACAATTTTAGGCTACTATTTATTTTTTAAGGATCTTCATTTGTAAATTAACTAAAGTTATAAAACTACAAAAATACTATATCTTCCCCCAAAATCTAGTGGCGTAGAAATGTTAAGTAGCATAAAATGGAAACTCAAGAATCTCAGATTGTTACTTAAGTACAGAATAACACCACTGCCCACCTGTTTTCAATATGATACAAAAAAAATGCTTAATGGAAAATTGTACCTGAGCTCCTACCTGCATTCCCTTTAGTTGCCTACATAAAGAAAAGCTGTTTATTTTTTTCCAAAATAAAACATCTCAGTTTTCACACAAACAGGTTTCCACCCTCAGCATGCTGGGCGCGGTGTCATTGCTTCTTACCGTAAAAGTCATCCTCAAAAATGTAATGTGATAATTAATGTCAATTCCAAATCATTGCTGTGGAGCATGCAAGGTGCACAAGCATGCATCATGTAATTTAGACAAAGGTGGAAAATGTATTCAGGTTATAGCAATATTGCAGTGTTAAAATACTCTGCTACAAGTAAAAGTTTTAGCATCAAAATAGGATAAAGTACTCATAATGCAGAATGGCCCATTTAAGCAGCATACATTTAAAAGTATTGTATTATACTTACAGATGCATTTATGTGGTCATCAGTTCAATGTTGCACTTAGTGTGGTCTATTTGAATTACTTCAATTACTACTGGGTGGCTTAACCTTAAAGAAATATATGATAATGTATTAATTGACTAACGTTTTTTTATTAATAACATAGATCTGCAAATTAACTTGTAACTAAATATGTTAAATAAATGTAGTGGAGTAAAAAGTACAACATTTGCCAACAAATTGTAGTGGAGTAAAAGTATAAAATAGCACAAAACGAAATACCTCAAGTAAAGTCAAAGTACCTAAATGTTTTACTAAAATACAATACTTGAGTAGATGTACTTAGTTACATTCCCCCACTGAATTTAAAGGGAATGTGAGCAGCTGTCGGTCCTGCTGGATGAACCTGCTGATTGTGTTGACTGAACTAAACCATTCCCACAATGCTCAGAGGAGGAAGGAGGGCTCATCCAGAGGAGGCTGGGATTTATTTTTAAACGCCCTCCTCCAGCCATGCCTCCCACCTCCATTATATCTTAATGTGTGCACTTGTTCTTCCTGAAGCATCCTCACTGTGTCTCCTTTATTTTGGACATTGTTGGAATATATTCCATATCTTGCCTTTCCGTGGGAAAAACTTGCTGCTGCTGCTTTATTTCAACACCAGGTGAGAGGAAACTATTGTTTAATTGTTCTTGTTGATACACGACGGTGATTAATGTTAAAATGTGTTAGCAACGTCAATTAGCATGTTTTTGTTAGCATGGGTTAAGGTTAGCTACCTTTACCCATGCTAACTAACTTTATAAACATGTCGCCATAATGAAAACAAAAGCTGTTTCCTCTTAGTGTTTTGTTTCTTATTTAACTCGACATGACATGGGAAACTGACACTAATGTGTTACTTTAACTCTAAGTTGAGGTTAATAAATAACGACTTTGTAATGTGACGTTGCTGTCGTCGGTTTAGTGACATTATGAAAGTTAGCTAAGGAAACGTCAATTTGATTTCCATTTGTCAACTGGTAATGTTAGCCTTGGGAAACACAGGTAGCTAACAAGTAGCAACCTGCTGTCACAGCTGTCTCAACTCTAGACTGGCTTGTTCTATCTCCCGAATCTAACAAAGCACCTGTCTCTGTTCAGTAATCCGACATTATAATGGCTAATTTTAATGTTAGGAATCCAGGTCAGTAGCTCTCACCTGTCACCTTGGGATTCCTCACATACCCCCTACCGTTGATAACACAAATTCCCTTACGGTTTTGAGTTGTAATCAGTCACAGGAAACATCCAGACCTTATGGCTAAATTACATTGTTTTTCAAATAAAACTGTATTGCCATTTAACAACAATGCAAGATAAACAAACAATAACCCAGGCTACATATTCAGTGTGATTCAAGTTTTAAAGAATTTTCTGAATAATGTTCATACTATTTTGAAAATTACCTGAAAAAAAGAAATCCAGTACAAATCTACAATTATTTGGTACATTTGGAAAAGCTCATGAAGAATGGACAGTTTACATAAGTTATAGTAAAAGAGCTTAAATGTGTTAGTAAACAAGGTCATTCATGGAGGGATATCGGATCCAAAGAGACTAGATTTGTTTGACAGTCTCATATATTTACAATTAAAAAGTGCTGTAAATTACACAGGTTAAATACTGCATTGCATGCACACATGTCACTTTTGGTAAAGGGTAGAATTCACCTGTTCATACTGACAGAAACAGATTGGCATGCATTTACACACTACACCAACATTAACAAAAAACACAGACCGTGTCGATAAGTTAATGAGCAAACTGTGTCAAGGTTGATGTGACGGCATTATTTGTTATTTATTATGCCTTTTGCATCAGCGTTTGTGGTTTTAGAAAAATACTTCTGTGATGATGTGAAACAACTACCCCCCCAGGGTTTGTAAGAAACAAGAGCATTTCACATTACTGGGTTCTTTGTATCAGTTAGCTATTGTGACGTCTTTAGGCTAAAGGGTAAAGTTTCTGGGATTATAACCGTTGATGGTCGGTTTCACTTGTCTTGTCATGTTGAAACATCAACAGCTGTTGTTTTAATTGTCTTGTTGTTGTTGTTGTTGTTGTTGTTGTTGTTAGGGCCCATGTCTTTCTCAGTGAAACTACTTTCATGCATTTAGCAGTTTTTCCTTCCTGTCTCTCTGTCCTCTGCAAGATACTTGGCAGACTTGCTGGTCTTGTTTTGTCTCGAGCAGGGAATGACCTGTATTTCATGCTGTTCTGTTCCCTTTCCAACGAGTGTGGGTGAATCATTTGAGGTGTGGCTGTCACTCACAACAAGGGGTTTAAACCTACAACGACAGTTAGCTAATAGCATACGAAGAAGCTTAGAAACATGTGCATAAAGAAAGAAATGTGATACATAAGTGCCTGGAAAAAAAGTGCTTAACCCTGGGCCTCACTTTAAAAGAGTTGCTTTGATGTCCTTAGAGAACAACAATGTACAGACAAAATAACTGTAACTATAAATACTATATTGCTTCCAAATAGTACATTGTTTTCAGAATTGTAACCTTTTTAAATTATATTATGTTTACATAATGCAACAGTATATTTTTTTTGTGAAGTCAGATTTCAAAAATTAAAATAAAATAAAAGGCTAACATGTAATAAATGGCTCACTTATCACAAATATATTTTTCTTTTGGAGTATTGTAATACAGTCTGGGGAATTGTGATTCTCCCCCATAATTTTGAGGACCCAACAAGAAATGTTTGGGCAGAAGGTAGAGCAGAAGAGATCGTAACAGTGTCAAGATATGAGACTAGATTACAGCGTAATCTTTTTTTTTGGGCAAATAACTGATTATTTATTAATTGTCTGGCATTTTTATTCATGGTAAAGTCCATGTCTTATCCCTGTGTATTGCAACTTGTTTTTTTCTGGTTGGTCTGTCTGTCCATCGTTTCCCCTCTTTGGTCCACAAAGAATTATCTCAAGAGCCGTTAGATGGTGAATGTTCCTATTGTCACCTGCGTAATGTAAACATAAAAGGTTATTGTTATTGTGAGCATGTAAACATTGTGACATTTGCATTAGCTCAAGGCACTTCTATGCCTAATGTGCTTGCATGGCTGAATCTTAGTCTTGTGTCTTAGTCAATTACTCGCTATAAGCAATTAAGAAAATATCACAATTGTAATTCTATGTTTTAGCAATAGTTGATGGGTGGGGGGGGTTTATTTACCTGTACGTATCGTCTATTTGCGGAGCCCATATCACCCATATCAAGTGTATTAGAAAAAACACCCACCTCTAGTAGCATAGTGAAGCTATTATGAATATAAGGTTTAATAAGCCTTTCGAAGCAGTTGATACTATAGTTTCTACTCTTGTTCTGTAAAACATTTGGTTGTGTGTCGAACAGGTCGGCCAGAGGCTAGCGGGACAACTCCTGTGTGACTTTGTGTCCCAACTCCTTTAGTCAAACAGCTGTGTGTTTGTTTTAGGTGTGTCTGACTTTTACCAGCTGCTGCTTTGATACAATTAGAATGCAGTTTGTACCGCAGTTGCGGCTTTATTTATGCATTGTTTTAGTATGATTTATGTTACCACGTACATTATAGAACTGTTTTCGGTCTTATTTGCCTAAAGCTTTGCTACCGCTGCATTGAAGGCAGGTGGAGGCCTTAGTACACAACAGTGGGTCAGTCTCGTTGACTCTCATTAGCATGCACACACATACAGATACTCAGACAGCAGGGTCACTGAGGGCCTTTGCACCAACACCAGAACACACACCGCTTTCTGCTTTCTGACTAAGCACCTAATTCACTCAGACGGTGACCAAAGAGCCTTCAATGTCAGTTTTGTTCTCCATTTTCTGCTCCTGATTTTATCCACCGCTTTAACAGGATTTTCTCCCTTTTTTTTTATACCAGTGTCACGAGGAAACAGTGTACACACAGAAAACAATAATATAAAAAAAGGTGAGTCACTCTTGGTTGCAGACATAGAGATTGTTTTTATTTAGAGTCATTCAAAAATAGAAATTAGGAAAGATTTTTCTTCAAAGCTGGATTTGAAAGGATGTGTCAGTCATAGGATTAACATAGCATCTGGGAATGTTTTCACACCCCATTCAGCAGAGACGTGTATCACAGTCACAAGGAAATGCTGCACAGATTAAGGCTTGTTGACATTCATGTCTTGTGATGTCCCATTCAAGTCGAAAAGGATGTTTTGATACATTTACTCACAAACGGCACCTGTTTCCCTTTTAATGAATTGTTTCATTTGTAGTACAGCTGTGTGTTTTCTGGTACTTCTTTCTTGTTGTGTGTTTGTCTAAGGGCTAGTCTGTCCCAGTTTGTCAAACCTGTTCCCTCTCCAGTGTTACATTAGCTTGTTGTCTGGATTTAGCACCATGAAATGAACTGTGTACTGTTTCTTTTGTAGGTAACCGTTCTGTCTTGAGGGCTTGTGAGCCAGCAAAGAGCTTTCAGGAACAAATAATAAAGGTATGTTTATTTGCACTTTCTGTTGAGTAATGCATTCTTAATCCTGTAAAACCTCATTGCTTCTAATGTGGTACCGGGCGAGGATCTTTCTGTCTTTGTTACACAGTCTGTTTTCTCTCTCTCTGTCAGCTCTGGGGAGAGAGTTTCTCCCCCGGCCTCCCATGGCCATGCCTGTCTCATCAGTCCAGGAATGACCGTCACCCCTAAAACACACACTGCTCAACCCGATTCCTCATTTAACAACGACACAAGGTTGGTGAACTAACAACTCATTTTCCTTTAAGAACCTTTTGAGTGTTCAGGGACATTTACTGTAAGGAAAGACAAAGTATAGCTGCTATCTGGAAACAGTGGCATGCTTTTTTTTTGCATTCATCGTCAGCCTGATAAAGAAAAGCGTTACAGTAGCTGATTCTAAATCATGTGATGTTTCTAGTTGTATTTACTGGCATTTCCCCTTTTGGCATCAAGGTTGTGTTACACTTGGCATCAGATAGATTAGCTCACTGACGGTGTCTGAATGTTTGCGCACTGATATCATTGTTACCTGTTGAGGTTCATCTCATCACATACCAACTAGATTGGATCCGGTGAAGATGGATGAGGTGGACGTACTGCGGTTGAAGCCTTCATCTGAAGACGCCGTGTCGCTGGTTTCCTCGTTGGCTGAGCCCATCAACCTCGAAGGTCAGTGAGTCGTTGTCGGATCGATGAGAAGCTGCTGAAAGCTTCCTTGTACCATCAACACAAACAAACTTTTTATAATTGAAACAAATACTCATATGAACACAGAGCACAATATTTGTTCTGGTTACACAAGTCCTAATGTGGCTTTCTGTGTGTTACCAGATTCCCATTATGCTTTGCTGCAAGCCGAGCTGGAGTACGACCTCCAGAGCCTGGAGGCGGAGTCTTGGAGCGTGGGAGTGGACCAGAACTACCTGAAGGCCCTGAGCAAAGAGGCCGTGAAGAGACAGGACGTCATCTATGGTAATTTCCACCAGCTACATCTGAATCTGATCAAATCCCCCCAAAACAGTAATCATGTATGACCTTAGTACAGAGACTGAACTTTCTCATGTCAATCACCAGCTGAAGGAGATTCATCTTACAAAGTGATGGCACGATTTAAGCAGAGATGACAGTGCCTGTAATTATGATGATGAGTAATGCTTATTTTAACTCGTATGACCTTTTCAACCACGCTGCTATAACAATAATGGGTTGAAGAATATCACCAAGTACAGTTAACCAATTACTGTACAATTTTGAGGTACTTGCTTCACCTATAATTGTGCGTCACTAACTTAAATATTGCACTTTAACATGAATTATTCAGTAATAGACCATACTAAAAAATAGACACTTTGGCTTTTGCAATATATGTTTACTTTTATGCTAATTTTTTAAGTAAGATTCAGAGTATTTAACACTGTGGTATTGCTTCTTTGATCCAAGAAAAAGGTCTAAATACTTCTTCAACTGCAATTGCATTCACCTAAGAATATATTTCTCCAGTTTTGATTACTTATATTTACTTCCATGACTTTGTTTGCCTTCCTTCTCTTAATGTACCCCATACAAATGTTTCTATATGTTTCCCTTCTCAACCCGCACATCAAGACACTCTTCTTTACTTGTATTTCCTAGAGTTGATCCAGACGGAGATGCACCATGTACGCACCTTAAAAATCCTCCTCCGTGTCTACCTGCACGAGATGAGGCAGTCTGCGCAGATCGAGGAGGCCAGGCTGGAGCGGCTCTTCCCTGGAGTGGAAACCCTGCTCAACCTCCACCAGCACTTCCTTAACTGCCTCAAAGCGCACCAACACCAAAGTCTGGAGGAAGGAAGCACAAACAACTACCAGATCACACAACTGGGGGACATTCTCATCTCTCAGGTAGGGTCTTTTGAAAGCAGGTTTTTGTGTAAATTATCAATCATTTGAACTGATCCTCTCAATAAGAGAGGGATTCTTTAAAGGACGTTTCGCTTTGCACGCGGTGGGGATGTGTCGGCATCTGCCGGCCCGCGACGGTAGCGTGTGCATGAAAACACGCGCATCTGCCACGGGAAGCACAGGGAGGTTGATTGCGACCGAATGGAGCCAATTCCGCCCTTGGGGAGCTGTGCCCATTCGGGAAGCGATTTTAAAAAGACCCCCCCTACACACTGCAGCCCTGCTCGTCTCGTATGAGTGTCTGTTATCCTGTTATCCTCAGATTTACTTTACACCCTTTATCCTCTGGGGTCAATTTGACCCCAGTAGTTTAAAACTCAAGACAATGATCATATTCCAAATTGTAACCAACATGTATGTCTCTGGTGCTTTAGGTATCTTAGTTGACTACCCAAATAACCATTTAAATAAAACATTACCCCAACCTTCCCCCCTACAGACCCCTTTATACATCCAGAATTCCTATTATGTGACTATCGAAAAATATATAAATCACCATAAAATCTCCCTGACTGAAATAAAATGTTAAAGTAAGGTCTTTTTGATGTTGTTAAAGGACCAATAACTAAAGCAGAGGATAGTTTTGTTTTACAATGATACATTTGCATGTAATAGTCACCTCAATATCATCCTACACAATCTACACAAATATGTGTAAAATATTGACATTTTTATACGTTGTATACTACTAAAACAACCTGGGGTCAAATTGACGTACAAAGTGCGTACAGGACATTTAAAAAAGATCTTCATGTTTACCCATTAGTCCTCACTAAATTAGGAAAAGTCATGAAATACTAAGCAAAAACAATAATGTGAACCATTTTTTTAGATACGTTAAACATTGAATGGGGTCAAATTGACCCCAAGGATAACAGGAGGGTTAAAGTAAATTGGTTCAAACAGGTTGTTTATTTAAAGAAAACACAGCGATTGAGATGTACTTTTTCCATACAACTGTTCTTCAAAACAACCGCAGGGAGTTTGGGCTATTCTTCAGGATTCCGGAAAGTTTATAAAAAGATCATGAATTTGTCTGAAAACATTGCTCAATGTTATCCACATGTTTGTGTAATTGTGTTCCCAAGCGCACTGCATCTCCTACTCCTCTCCTATTGTACGTTTGTACTGAAACCATTGCTTGCAAATGCATCTGGACCTTTACTCTCAGGTCCACCGTTTACTTAGTTTATGACTCCTAAATGCTATGTTTACATTTCTACACAGAGGCCTACAACAAACTGACAACATTTTAAGGGAGACTGACATCTTATCCTACAACTCTGCTTTCAAAAGTGGGATTAAGTTGCTACATGTTCATATTTAAATGACCTTTTACCATTTAAAAAAACAATGGGCACATGCATTAGTTTCAACCATTGCTTCCAGGGGCTCAGATCCCAACTGACAGACTAATTGTGTTTGGTCACCATTACCTGATATGTAGGATATTCAGGTGTAAATAACTGTGTTTATGGTGCTATTTATTTATACAGTATGTTCAGTATACATTCAGTATATCTCTCTCCACCTCTGTCACTTAGTGCTGAGTGAGTGAACAGGTGTTCATGGGAATGGCTGGTATGTGTGATACAGGGACTACAGGTGTTTGATCCATAAACCCAGGAATGATGCTGCGTCACTGGCATCACATTTTTGGAGAACCATTTCTCCTTATGTGTTTAGAATCACAGATGCACCAGAGCTTTCTGTTCAGAATGATTACTTTTTGTAGCATTACAGTGAGAAGAGGATTTACAGACAAAGATTGAACTTGCTTATAAGTCATATCCAGTTGATAAACGTATATTTATTTTGTCCTTATTGTGTTAGTTCTCAGGTGCACTGGGAGAAGGAATGATGGGGTGTTACAGTGTTTTCTGCGGTAACCACATTGAATCCATCAGCTCCTACAAAGAGCTGGTGCAGAACAACAAGAAGCTGCAGATCCTCACTAGGGTGAGCAACATTCACTCATTGGCCCATTCATGGATACGATTTTCTACACGACGCCAGTGAGGCTTGCGTGTTGAAGAATTTGAAATGAACTAGTTGCCTCTCTAAAAGTATCTTTGACATTGGCAACTAACATAAATAGTGTGTGGCAGGAATGATGTATGTCTTGGAAAAAAAAACGTTCTTTATTTTAAAACAGAAAATAGGTCAGCTGCCTCTGGTGCGGAGGTTGGGAGTCCCTGAGTGTTTTCTGTTGGTGACTCAACGCATCACAAAATATCCAGTACTGTTGGAGCGAATCATACAGAACACCGAAGGTAACACCTCATTACACTTGCCTGCATCTCAATAAGTCAGTATACTACTTTCAGATAACATTTTAAACTGAATTCCAATTGGCTCCCTTCTTTTGCAATACAAATGCTTGCTGGAATGGTTTCATATATAAGGTGTTCTCTGCTTCTCTCAGCTGACACAGAAGAGCACAAGTCTCTGGTTCAGGGTTTGGCGCTGATCAAAGACAACATTTCCCAGGTGAACGCCCTGGTCAGTGAATTCGAGAAAGCCGCTCGTCTCAGAGACATCGGGCAGCGCCTGGAGCCAAAATCTCAGGGCCGTATGAAGAACGGAGGAGTTCTCCGCAAAGAGGATCTGCTGCAGGAAAACAGGATGCTGCTGCACGAAGGCACCGTCACCTGGAAGACCTCCGGGAGACAAAAAGGTTTGTGACTTTGTTGGTGTTGTCTTTTTCAATTTCCCTTTCTCACAGTTATGCAAGTGATCCGTTTGGCTACTTATTCTGATTATAAGCAGAGGTGATCTTCTTTTGCTGCAAGGGACAATAAACCTTAAAGTGGACCTATCATGCTATATTTGAATAATATAGTGTAGGACCATACCTATATAAGGCATATTTATACTTTTTTTTTTTCAAAATACCAAACAGATCATGCATTTTAGCCATGCCTCATTTCGCTCAATTTGAAAAATGTTAGCTCTGTTTTTGCAAGGGCAGATTCAGTGAGAACAGCACCACCTACAGGCCTGACATATGTACTACAGCGTCTCCAGCGCTTTTGAACGGCAATGGCCGTGGCTGTCTCCTCCTGATTGGTGGAGTTGGCCCAATAGCCGTAGCGCCACTGTCCTGACATCAGGACAGTGTTCAAATCTGGATCAGTTTTTATCAGATCCGTTGCAGCCCCTTTTTTAGAGATTTGGGTATGGAGGAAAATAGAGAGGGTTGTGTTTTCTGACACTTGGTGAGTTCCCTGGAACACCGGGGACACATATTCATGTATAAAAGACGTACAAAAGTGCATTTTGCATGATAGGTCCCCTTTTAAATGAAAATGTTTTTTTTTTAATTGGCTGATCTGACTTGGTTCCCTGACAACTTGGCTCGCTCACAGCATTTACTAGACTATAACAGCTTTTTTGTTTCCCTGTTCCTTAATGCAGTGTAAGAAGGAGGAACAAGTACTACTTTTAATGAAATATGAACTTCATTCAGGTTCTTGCTGAAATGTCTCACCCTTTTGTACATGACAAAAGATACTTCCTCAAACAACTTTACAGGGATGATGCCATAGGTGAATGGAAGGTCACTGAATTACTGCAGTATTACAGGGCTGTTTTTTTGGGCATTTCTTCGCCAGATGACAGCATAGATATATAATGAAAAGGGAAGAGGCATAACAGAGGTCCAAAGGCAGCAATCAAACCTATGAACTTGTGGTTTTATGGCATGCACTGAGCTACAGTAACAAGGCACTGAAGGGATGTGGTTTTAAATATGAGGTTTAACTGCATGGCAAATTGCTTTGTAAAAGCCGACAATAATAGCTGAGTCATTACTGACGTGTGGAGGATTAACAGTCAGACAACATGCACAGTAGACATGTATCAAGTCCCTCCTTGCAGTTTGACTTAGAACATCCAGCACTTGTTGATTTGATGCCGTTTGTGTCTCCCTGCAGAAATCCAAGCTGTGCTGCTCTCAGACGTGATCCTTCTCTTGCAGGAGAAAGATCAGAAGCTTGTATTTGCCTCCATGGTGAGTTCAGCTATAACATTGACAAGCTATTATTCTAAGAAGGAAAAAAGTTGATGTTTTTTGTTCCAACTTTATCAAATTGTTACGTTAACATCTCAGACAGTTTTTCTAAATATCACATTTGATGTAACATTCCAGGGCCTGGTGTGTGATCTATTTGATTATTAATAAAAGCTGCTGTATTATTGTGGCTCATACAGGATAACAAACCACCAGTGATCTCCCTCCAAAGGCTGATTGTGAGGGAATTGGCTAACGAGGACAAAGCCATGTACCTTATCTGTGCGTGCACAACGAGTCTGCCGGAGATGTACGAGATCCACGCGCGCTCCCGAGAGGAATGCGTCGCATGGATGGCGCTGATTCGGGAAGCTGTGAACCGGTAAGCTGAAGACTTCTAGAAAAAAGATCAGAACTGGGTTTATTGGGATGTTCACCAAATGTTCTGGTTTAGTAGACCGCTATGAAGAGTTGTAACAGTCTATGTGAATAAGCATTTATACCGAATGTTGTTTGATGTAGGGACATTACATGTGAAAGAGCATCATAATTGAGTTGTATGGCAGTAAATCCTTCAAACAGTAATCAATTTGATTTGTGTATTCTTAGCTTATTATAGTACATTTGTTTGGCTTTAAGTTGATTCAAATCAGAATATCATTGAGTTGCCAAAATGTTAATCATCACCTTCTCTTTGCGACATATTGTAAATGTGGTATTTATAGGTGTGCATATAATAAGTAATGAGAGTGAATACAGTATAAAGATCATGATTATACTTAGTAAGATGTCTGTGTGATGCAGCTATCCAGAAGAGCAGCAGCACCGCGAACTGACAGCCAGTCTGCAACAATTCCAAGGTAAGACAGACGGGGGTACTCTCTCTTATTTTAAATTGAGATAATATCAATTAAGACCCATTCAGTCAAATATATTTTTCACCATAGATGATGAACAATGTGTTTATCCACAGCTTCTAGTGAGCCTGCTTAGCAAACGTAAAGGCCTTAAAGTAACACTGTTTTCATAAATATAAAAACGAGACTAGGGTTTGCAAGCTGTAAAAAAAAAATCCTCCTATGATGAAGACTTGTATATTTGCGCGATGCATTATTACATGTGTTGGGAGTTTGTAAATATCAGTGTGTATGATATGATATCTTTCTTTCTCTCTGCATTTCCACTAAATGTATAAGTTAGACATGTTACTCATTTTCTGCTGTTGCCCTTTAGACATTCTAAGAGTGAGGGATGAGCAGATAGTGCAAAGTCTGACAGAGAAGCAGCAGATCTTCGCTGCTCTCTACCAGACGATGACGGAGCAGGAAACCCCCCACAAAGGGCTGCTGCTGCGAGGAGACGCCACCCCCCTCCAGCAGGGGGCCACGCTGCTCAAAGGAGCCATCGATGAGGGTAAGAGCAAAATCAGCTCCTCTTCTCTACTTCCGACCCATGGGACCTTATTTCGGAAAAATTATGTATTGAAGTCAATGGGGAGAGAAAACTTATCTTTCGATCCCGTTTGAATTGTGCCACGAATTACACATATGATGTTTGTCAATCTTAAAAAATTATTTCCATGTCAAAAAAGTCACAGTTTGTCGTAAAACTGTTGAAATATAAGACTATGAAAAATACGCAACTAGAAAGACTACAAATCCCAGAGTCCCGGTCCCGCATGCTGGCTCTTACGGAACCGACTAACTCCCTTGTGTGTATGTACAGCTCTCAACATGCCCAGACTTGTAGTGATTTTCACCTCTTTTAATACTTTTCGCCTCATTCTGAAAGAAAGAAGTGAAATGTGCCAACGTGACGGCTGTCTTGGTGTGTGGTGCGAGACGGGAGATGTAGTTCATTGAGCGGTTTCACACAAAAAAAAGTGTTACTTCACAGTTTTATTTTTTTGACTTGCAAAATTATCTTTTAAATTGACAAACATCATATGTGTAATTCGTGGCACAATTCAAACGGGATCGAAAGATAATATTTCTCTCCCCATTGACTTCAATACATAATTTTTCCGAAATAAGGTCCCATGAAAAGGGAGGGACTTCGCCTCTCTATTCTAAAACCCGGAAGTAAGCTGCGCATGGGTTCCTTCAACAAAAAAGCAATGCAATTTCTCCATAGGATTTTAGAAAATAGCTCGAAATAAGGTCTGTGGTTGACACACATTTAAGAGACGGACGAATCATAACTCTATCGATCATAAATCTATCGATTAGATTTACGATTAGAAAATTATAAAAGTAGGGTAGACATGTGGATATTATCCGACTGAACAAAACGTGATCCGTCTCTTAAATGTGTGTCAACCACAGACCTTATTTCGAGCTATTTTCTAAAATCCTATGGAGAAATTGCATTGCTTTTTTGTCGAAGGAACCCATGCGTAGCTTACTTCCGGGTTTTAGGACGCGTCACTGTGGCACTCTATTTGTTCTACATTGGTTAGCTATGAAAACATTGTCATGCCATAACACAATCCATAGTTGATTTTAAGAGATTTGTATAGAAGAAAATACGTTATACACACGGTTATCATATTTATATATTCTTTGCAAGAATAGAATAGAAATATATTGCTTAACTTGCACAATATATTCAAGCCTTCTTCTTCTTCTTCTTCTTCTTCTTAGCTTCTGTATTGCTAGCTCTCACAAAAAAAAAAACGAAAACTTCTCAGTTCCCTCATGGGTCCTTAAATGTGTGGGAAAGGCCTGGAAAAGTCCTTAAATGCGATGTGTATGAAGGTGTGGGAACCCTGCGTACAGCCAAGTACTGACTCAGAGAGTGCTGAGGAGTTCTCTCCAGGAAGAGATTAAGGAGTTGTTTTTGTCTTTTGTCTGCAGTGGAAATCCTGCAGAACCTGCTCTTCTTAAGGATTAGAGACCCAAACCTTGTTATTGACGAGAGTAACACACAGGAGGGGCTGCTGCGGGGGGGCGAGACCTCAGCTGATAATAACCCTGCTGCAAGCGCCATGAAAAGTAAGCAGACATAAAACTAACATTGTGATGTTACCTATTTCTATGTATGCTAATATTAGTATATTTACACTGAACAAATAAATGTTTGACTGCAATTCATTTAGCTAACATATTCACTGACAAGCTAACAAACGATGTGTTTTATTTTACTTATTTATGTGCAACTTCAGGATCAAGAACTGTTGTTATGCATTTGAATAGAGGTAGTCTAACAACTTTATTTGGAACTCATTCATAATTTGGGGAAGTTAACATATTGCTCACTTTTTCTATAAAATACAGTATTCTAATATTTGTTATAAACATGTATTGCATCGTTTTTTTCTTACTCTAGGCTCAATCCTACTGTGATCCCACACGTTCACAGGGATTAGGTAACTGTAGACTTTGGATGTGTGTGGTTTGATTTTCTCAGATGGAGATGAAGCTGAGAGGCCAGGTGGCAGCGAAGCATCGAGTGAGCCTGAACTCCAGGAGAGTTTCAGCTCTGAGAGCCTGGACCAGTTTGTGAGTGGGACATATTAAAATAATCTACATGTTATTTCATCTGGTATATGTTTAAAGTATTTACATTACTTGTGCTATTTTGCTTCAAGGCCGAAGATGACACACAAAATCCTAACTGCAAATTAACCTCCGCACATTTCCCTGAAGCAGAGGTAACCCTTCCAATACTTATTTGCTTTGTTATTTTCCTCATTCCTATTCATTCGTACATAAATATTTATATCTGTCACTAATGGTATTATGGTGTGTATTGTTGTTTTTCTGTAGGTGTGTGACAGGGTGATACTGCTTGCACAAAGGCTCTACAGTTTAGAAGTAAGACTTGTTGTAAATTGTTCTTAAATATGTATATTGTATTCAGCAGGCACCTAATTTTATTATTTATTTAGCAAAATTGTCTTTTAATGTTTTGCTGTATGTGAATCTAAATGTGTCCTAACATAAGAATAACATTAGTGTTCTATCACAATAATGAATGGTATGTTTTCCGATGTTAGATACAATGTGATGTTTAAATTCAATGTGTCAACGTGCAGGCAATCATCGCCCAGCAGGACAGCCAGATTGAGCTGCTGCACGCTTTCCACGCGAAGAGCAAGCAGCCGGCCCGTCACTACAGCAGCGTGCTGCTGGAGCAGGAGAAGCAGCGCAGCCTGGAGAAGCAGAAGGAGGAACTGGCCAACCTGCAGAAGCAGCAGGTCCAGCATCGAGAGGTGCAGCAGCGCTGGGAGAAGGACATGGAGCGGCAGAGGGTTCAGATCGAGAGTCTGGAGGCTCAGCTGCGAAAGAGGGAGGAGGACTGCCTGATGTGGGAGGGGAAGCTGAACGAGGACAGGGCTGCGCTGGATGAGCTGAAGGAAAACTACCAGCAGGACCTGGAGAGGCTCAGAGAGTCCACGAGGTCCGTGGACAAGGACAAGGAGCGTCTGAATCAAGAGAGGAGGCGTCTGGAGCACATGCTGGAAAAAGTCAAGAACATGATGCCAGGAAACTCCAACTATGATGATCCTTCACAAGTAAGGAACTGGATTTTAATAATACCCGTTTATGAACTTATTGTGTGCTTATCTGTCCACCACGAAGTATCATTTAGTTGAGTAACATTTAGTCAGCTAAGTCTATATAATAATCGGAACTTGTTTGAGCCTTGAATTACAGTGAAACCTTTGATGATCAATGGCCTAAGAAAATGAGCGATCAGTTTAATTTGCTCCCTGAAGTTAACATTTTGAATTTTGCATTTCCTCTCTTTCTAGTTGCGGAGTCTGCAGTCGTTCAGGGGAAGTGTAGTGAACGGAGGTGGGACATTAAATTCAAAACCGCACATCTTACCCACCAACTCGAATACCTTGGAAGTCCCTCCGAAGGTGCCCCCGCGCAGAGAGAGCATCAGCCCCCAGCCGGCCAAGCCCGAGCTGCCGCTCCACCTGATCAGCACCACCAACCAGGTGCACAAACCTGCATCCCTACTGCAGCAGATCCCCACCAAGCTGGCCGCTGCGTCCAAGGGGAAAGAGAAGAGCTTCAAGACCAAGAGGTCCCACCAGAGAACGCACAGTGCAGGTCAGGAGACCAGGGTTTGGGTTTATTGTCCTTTTCCTCAGATGTAAACAAAGTAACATTACAAGCAAAGAAAAAAGCAACACAACTAGGGGCAAACCCCCCAAGGAATATTGTACTTTTAACTCCACTACGTCAGTTTGACTGCTTTAGTTACAAGTTACTTTACAGATTTGTAACATTAAAATAAAGTAATAGGTTAATATCAGCAGCAGTCAAAATGTGATTAAGGTAAGCTGCACCATCACCACCTGTAAAATGCACATTGCCTTTGGTACTTAGTTATAAGTAAAAAAGCATTGTAACAAAAATATAACTAAGTAAAATGTTATATGCAGGACTTATACTTATATCAGAGTGTTTGAATAATGTATTATGGCTACTTTTACTTGCACCTCTGTCTACAGACTGAACAACATTTACAGCCATTGACCAAAACATAATGTAGTTATTATTGTAAAGAAACATTTAGTTGCAGCTGGGAAAAATACACACCATAATACCAGCTGAACTTTTTTAGCCCTCCGATTCAAATGTCCTTAAAGTTTTGGTGAATGTGTCAACATGCATGGTTACAGCACTGACCCACTCCTGTCTCTCCTCCCGCAGCCTCTATAGACGTGAGCCAGATGCTGCCCATCCGAGTGATGGGGAATGAAACGAGCAGTCTGAGAGCCAAACGCACCGGCAGTCCCCAAATAAGAATCTACCAGTCAGGTACAGACGAGTCATCAAGAATCATACCTCCTGTAGACTTAAATTCAGGCTCCAAAAGTAACATTTAAAATAAGCAATGTCCTTTTACTAAGGTCTATGTTTAGTGTTGAATATTGAACTTTGAACTTGGGTGTTGAATTCTAACCTTATAATCTGTTTTTATATACAGGCACTGGTCTGATGGTCAAAGGTCTGAAAGAGCTTAATCAAAGCCTTATTCATAAATGTTTAGAGGGGACACTGTGACTGTATATGTTGAGTTTTGATTCATTATAGTGTTTTACCGAGAGTATGAAAGTGAATTCTCGGAAAAGCAGCCGCTGCAGAAGGATTAAACGTGCAGTAGTTACTACTTTCCATGCCTGTAGGTGGAGACATCAACATTACTACTTCTACAGATGTATTCCTTTCTTTCCTGTATGGTGCAGGTTGGCATGTGTAATCTAGCAGCTCCCCCTTGTGGAGAATCTGCAACCTGGTGATTACATTTGTGAGTTCAAGACACTTTCATGAGGTGCTTGATGACCAAAAACAGGACAGGGCAAGGTTAAAACGTGGTGTTAGAACATCTCAAACAGAACAGGATATGAGCTGAAACACTATCTTGATATATGGGTATACATTACTGTCCTGGCCACACACTCACACACACACAAAAGGACACTTGGTATATATGCTTGTGTACCATTACTCTTACGACTGGGATGAGGAGATTAGGCATGCAGTGCAGAGATAGCAGGATTGGTTTATATGGTTAGGTGTTGCTGTGACTTTACATGTACCTACTGAACACAATTATTCATCCGTTTTTTGCTCCTCCAGGTGCCTTTGACCCACCAGAATCTGTTCGCAATAAGAAAACGTCTCAGTCCTTCAGCACGCAAAAGAGGAGCAACGATGGTCCCCCACCACCCCCGCCTCCGTTTCCCAAAGATATTCTGGGAGCAGGCAAAGAGAAGGTAATATTCCTTTAATCCTCAACTACACTCTGGAGTCTGGACCGGGCCTTGTCCACCATAAAAACTCAAATGAAACACTGATGGAGCTGCTACAAGGACTTTCACACATGGAAAGACTAATGGATGTTATAAAAGACATTGGACATGACCGAAAGACGTCTCCATGTGTGCCCATCATGAAGAGGACCGTCACGGTATTTTATCCCTGGAAACCAGCTGTTTGATTACAGATTGGTCAAAAAAGTAAATAAATACTGATGTACTTTGTAAAAATATAAAATATGTACAGAGATCAGCCCATTTGCACATTGAGAATATATATAATACCATTTTAAAACAAAACCTTTAAATGCCAAAGTTGTTTATTTTATTTGAAATGAAAGTAGGTTGCCTTTTACCATTAGCACTCATGTCTTAACTACTAAGCTTTACTTGTATTTTACTTAATGATACATTTTAGATGTAAGGTGCCAAGCACAAACTTTTTATTGCAGAGTGAATCTGATAACTGAGGAATTTGACCTGTAGTTTCGCTCTTTGGTATTTCCTGTAATCATGAAACTAAAACGTTATGTGAATGAACCTACAATTTGTTTGTAATATCAGCTGTTTAGTGCACTTCCTGACTGGAGACAGCGACTCAGGTTGGTTTTCATTTACGACTAAACGGCTGCGGGAAGCCTTTATAAGAATGTAAGATAATTCATTATAAGTGGCATTCCCTGTTAAATAAGGTTCTGGCATAATTCAACATGTTGATGATGGACCTGTCTTTTTTTTGTTTAATTTGAATTTCCAAAACCAACCAATGGTTCTTGGAATAAAAGATTGTTGACTTGAGTTTTTGGTTTATTGGCTTCATGTTGTTGAAGAAAACATATCAGATGTTTTCAAAGAAACTAAACTGGAAGTAACTCAAAACCATAAGTGATGCTGAGGTGCTTTTGATTGGACTTTCCACATTCATTTCCTGTTATCCAGTGGAAGTATTTCAATGTAACACAAATCCATCCACATTCATCTAGGCTGGCTGATGGAAGCAAATCAAAACCAAGATTAAAATTGTTTTTGAATAAGTTTAGATTTTAGTTTAGTTTCATTTTATTCATACATTTTTAGTTTTTATATTATATACTATTATATATTTAACAGTAGTTTGCTTTAGGTAGGGCGATGTCTAATATCTCATTAGTATGAAGTATCATATACACACAAAATACATGGTTGGGGAAGGGTGTTACCTTGAGTACCGTTTCACTTCCACACTCATTAAAACATCCGGACTGTAGTTAGTCAAATTACTCCTGAGCTGAATAGTTTGGTTAAATAACATTCGATACATTTTCAACATGTTCTTATTACATTTTACTACATTAGAAAGCATGTGAAAAACAAAAAGATTATGGTATAGCAAAAACATAAAACCAACTCCCACTATCAGTGCATGCACATACCCTGTGATTAAAAAAAAAAAAAAAAAAAAAAAAAAAAAAATCAAAACGTTTTTATAACCCTTTTTCGGTCTCAAAAACAAATCTCTAAAAAATCACATACCTCTCAAAATCTGAAAAAACCCACTGTAATATTGTGCAATAAAAAACACACCAAATTCCAAATACAATGTTTCTTTATTATATGTATTCCTCAACAGAGGCTTTAAAAACCACTTGGTGACAACAAACTGTTGGTGAATAAATAATCTGATGTCCTGGAAAACACATCCAGACAACTAACATCACATCTGACCAAATTATTTGTACTTCTTCCCTCAACGTCTTTACAGGAATGTTGAACTTGTTTAATAGGCCTCGTAAATGGATAAGAAATACATGTATACTCGTGTACAGAGTGATGTCTCCTCTGACTTCCAAAACTAAATTATGATGAGTATTGGATATATTGACACCTTGGGTTCACCCTTTATGAGAATACATAAACATATACAGACATGAGGCAACAGCTTCAGTCATCCCATGAATTAAAAAAAAATATTGTGCAAATGCTTTTTACAACTCATACGTCAAACTGCAGCACATCATCATTTCGATTTCATAAAGCAACTTTTACACTCGACACATTCCTCTTTTCCTCCCGACACAGACTCAATAAGGCCAAACCAACTCTTTTAAGACAACATGGAAGACTACTAGGGGGAACAGAAAAGCAATGGTTGACATTTTAACTGTTGCAGCACCAATACAGTCTACACTTAGGATTATACAGGTTTTTTTTTATGAAGGGTAAAAACTCAACCATAGCATGCAAAACAAAGTATACCAAAAACAACAATCTCTAATAGCTTTGGCTCAGTTAACAACCTTAGCTCCCCATTTTAAAACATCACTGCTTTAGTTTGTAATGTAATGAAAGGATAAGGGACACTAACTTGTGTTTGTATTTGTGTGCTTTTTGGAAAAAATGCATTCGAGCCTACCGTGATCTTTTAAAGGTCCTACCACATCGGAGACTTTTACACAAGTCAGCGATAAACATGCTAGTGCTAATCTGTCACAGCTGATCTTTAGACCTAAGGGTAGCAACTAAAAATTATTTATATTATTGATTATTGTGCCATTTATCCAATTGATTATTGAATTGCCTTTTTTTAAATGTCAGAAAATATAAAATGCTTAGTATAATTTCAAGCCTGCAATGACTTTTTGTTTCCTTCAAATAGCAGTTCAAAGATACCCAGTTTACTTTTATGTATTAACAGTAAAGCCTTAAAATCCTCAACATTAAGAAGCTGGAACCTGAAGATGTTCGGCCTAAAGCCTCATGTAAGTCTTTAGTGTAACAGCTTGTGTAGCTTCCAGATGTGGCTTTTATTCCCTTTTTTAAAAAGGAGGTACAGACTGTAAATGGGTGGTTTTTTTGGTCTTTTTTCTGAGACTTCAGAAAGCACAGATCCCATCAAGTGCAAATAAATGTCTGAACTTGCAATGTCCATTAACTGAGACACAATTTAAAAAAAACACAAATTAAATATGAAGTGAAATGTAAAATGCCGTACTAGAAGTCCTTTCAGTTAGATTTGTTTCCCTCTTCTTTCCCGACCGTTTCCTGAGGCGGTAATTGGGGTGAGTCTTCATCATCATCTTCTTCTGTGGTTTGTGGCTCCGGTTTATTCAAATGATCCTCAGTCGGCGGTGCTGCAGATTGTGTACAGTTGATCGGTGCGAGCGCTATGGCAGGCTGCAGGGGACAAAAACAGTGTCTATATAAGATGGCTGAATGGTGTGGATCAGAAAACTAAATGTAATGGTAACAGAAGACTGAAAAGGCCGTAGATAAGACAAACAAAACAAAAGAATATGCAGTCAACCCACTGTACACGGGTAGATTTAAGGCTTTTCATCACAACCCTATTACACCCAGTTAAAGGAGCCTTAATGTCATCAGAGGTATTCCTGTACGCAGAGATAACAAGTCCCAGATATGCACAAAGAAAAGTGGAAGCATATCAAAGAAAATCCCACATACAAAAACATGCGTATTATTTCAGAAATAACACAAGCTTTTCTAAATCACCGAGCACCACCAATATTTGCTTCATCTAAAAGCTAATCCCTGATGTGTGTACGCAGAAAATAAAAACACATCTACTCTAAAGGGAAAAACCACAAAAAAGGAACCTTAAGCAACATGAAGATGTTTAATGGTAGAGAAGCAAGCCCAGATGGAGTACCTGCAGTGACATTCACAGACAGCTGAGCCCTCAGCAGCAGACTACAGCACACCCACAGTAAAATAAAGGGCAAGGAGCAGCAATGGGAGGGAGGGGACAGTAAAACAGAAAGAAGCACGGATGGTATTATTAAAAGGGGTTACTCAACTTAAGATTCTACTTTACTCTGCATGTTTTTAACTTAAGATTTTTTTTTGTGTTGATGTTTTTTTGTTCTTCGGCAGTAGGCGGTCATATCAAACTGGTATTCACCACAAATCCACTTCCAGTCCAGAACTGGGGCAACTCCTTGCGCCACAGCGCCACACTGAGGCTGGTGAGCAGAGTGCAAGGCACCAGGTAGAGCAAGGCCGGCTGACCCATCTGCATCACGGCCAGCGCCACGAAGGTGATCAGCAGGCCCACGCCGTACGCTACAACCGGAGAGAAGGCAGACACAACGTCAACATTTTTTACATTTTAAATCCAGACAACACTTGATTTCATGCAGATTTCACTCCAAAGCCCCATTCTGATCTGAATTAGGTCTTTAGTGTCTTAGGAGTGATTGACATTAGTGGCACTGCTCAGACATTTTATCAGCTCAAAGTGAAATTTGAATTAAGTAAGAACATAGGGGACATTAAAAAGTGTCTTTGCTAATCTGATATATGGAAACATGTTTCCAGCAACCTATTGTTCAACTTGGGGAAGGATAGTACATGAAATGGGCTCTTGTAATGTCAGCTACAGATAGTCTCTCTTGGCTGGTCCTGCAGAATCAAAATGGGGTTTTCCCTAACACTACCATACCATCATCACAACCCTTATAATACTTATTTATGTACGTACCGATAGTACAGGCCACAAAGTAGATACGGGAGGATTGTGTTAAAATGTCAAATCTGTGACAGTAAACCACCAGCAGACCTGAGAAGAAAACAAAACAGAGAGATTAACAGATCAATAAACAATATAAACTACAATATTCAACTACCTTTTATCAGTTTGAGTTCCTTTTTAATTACCTGGTACTAAGATATCCCCAAAGCCCAGGAGGGAGAAGGGCCGGTCACACAGAGCCAGAGGAGAGAAGTTCAACCTCGGCACTTTGAGCACCATGGGGAGCTGGAGGAAACAAACATTTGTTTATTAGCATTTACTTTTCCTCTGAGCTGAGAGAAGCAAAGGAGTTGTGTTCATTCAAAACGAGCGCACCTTTTCATGATCTGAGGAGTCGGAGGGACCGGCCGCTACCTCCACCATAATACTCTCCCCGCTCTGTGGAGGAAAGGCCGTGGGTAACGCGAGTATGACGCACAGTAACACAGACTGTAGACATTTGAATAGCCTTGAATGAAGAACATACCTTTGTAAAGAAGGGTGTAATAAATACGAAGAAAACATCGTAGATAAAAAGAACCGACAGTAATAAGGTGCAAGCCTGCAGAGACAGAAAGTAAGGTCAGGTGAGATTACAACTAACATACGCAACAAACCCAATGAAAATGTTAAAAACAATATTTTATGTGTATGAGAGTGCTGACTCACCTTAAATGTGGGGAGTCTGACTGTTTTGAGCATGTAGAGACAGAAGGCGATCCCCAGGGTGTCCTGTAACACCCACGCCCACCTGGAGGACACGAGACTGAGTCAGCCAGCAGACCCTTATGTAATGCACCTCCAACATGTACACACACTTCAGAGTCATGCGATTTTTACACTGAGACCAACAGCGAATAAAATGTTTAAGAATACATCATTTGTATACACGTATTTTTTTGTATCTTTGCACTTACTGGTCTTCATTGCGAAACACCATCCAGGTGATGCTGACAGCGATGCAGAAGGCCGTCAGCAGCAGCATGCGGATCTGCGGCCGCTTGTGCAGGTATGGCAGGTTGTTCTCTGGGACCCTGCAGCGGTAAGCAGCCCACACATCAATTAACATAGCCATATCTAAGATGTACATCAACAGTGTAAAGGGGTTTTAAGATAATTAAATCTGTGTAGACAAAGCTTACTAAATGTATGTGTCTGTATGTAAATTATACAATAATACATGACTTCTTTGGTCAGCTATGATTCTGAAATCATACTCATGTGAACAGTCTCACCTGCACTTGCAGAAAGGGATTCTCCGGACAAAAGGCCACAGGCAGCTGTGCAGGCCCACAGAGGAGGCCAGACAGAAGATGGCTATGACCCAAATAGCTGGGGGGTGAGGAAACAGGGGAGGCAGGAGGAGATTGTTACACATGATATATACATTTAATCTTTGACAAATCTAGTCCAATAGGTGTATCAGTTTCACCGCTGTGTGTCCAGTATATAATGTACTGGAGTTCAAATGCAAAGCAGCAGTAAATGGTGGAATTATTAACACATTTTTGCTCAAACCCAACATCTCTTAATGATTTAAACAACTCCTAGGGAGAGGTTTTATATTGTTTTCAAAGCGATCAATTTATCCAACTTGGAAATACAATAATAGCCAAGTAATTTGTGTGCGTATGAAATCAGCTATAAGATGTTACACTGATGTCATAATTAACAACACAAGCCTGCGAGATGCGGTTTAAAATGAGAAAAGACTATTAAGTGGAACTGGAGTTACGATTATGTGTAAAACATTGTCGACCACATTCTTCACATCCTGTTTCATGCATTATTGAGTCATGCCTGACCTCAATGAGTGAAGCAGGAAACACAGCAATAAATCAATTGAGTCTCATAGAAGTGGATCTGACCGAAAAAAAATGTGTTTAACAAAAAGTGAGTATGGACCAGCATGTTGAGAGTTATATCACTTTGGTTGACATCATTGATGTTTGAGTGTATTTGTCGTACCCAGGCTGTCGTAGAAAAAGTAGAGTAGCACCAGCATGCTGCAACACATGACCACGAACACACAGATCATGATGGGGGTGACGTCGACCGTCTCCTCGTCCTGCTTCTCCGCTCCGTCGTCCCTCTTGTGCTTCATGTATCGTCTGCAGGAAAGAACCCAATTTCAGAGAGGCGTGCTGGCCTGAGGTTCTTGTTTCGGACGCTCATAACTCGAGAGGCTCATCTGCTCGCGTTCCAGCTTATTAAACAAAATAGGGTATGGCAGGGATACTCAAGTCCTCTCTTATCATTTTCAAACCAACTAACTAATACTATAACTTGGAAAACAATTGACAATAAACAGATAAGTCGGATAGTTCACTGACTTTACTTTGCACAGCCTGAAAGACCATCACCCTATTTTGACTTTTTTCATGCACCTTATTTACATAAAATACAAAAAATCCCACGGGAACTCATTAAATAGTGTGGCGCGGAAACATGGCTCCTTTTTTGGGGGCTGGTGAAGTTGAGTATAACTGGACTAGCGCAGCACAGATAGCTTGCTCTTAGTTTTAAACAGTATTTACTGATGGTTGGGACTTTCCAAAGCAGCCAGGATGATCACCTCATCATGCACAGATAATATTTACCACCATGTGGCTGCCTGGGCTACTTCCTTCCTTAGTTCAACACACACACTTATACTCCAAACAGTTTTCTTGCCCGTGGTGCTGTGCGTCAGACTGTGACCTGAGTCACCGTGCCAACTCGGTCAGGAAGAACTGACTCTCATTGGCTCGAGCCGTGAGTCACCCGTACAGCCTCAAATAACCAACTGAACACACACTTTACTAAGAGAGAAGACTGAGCAATCATATGCTCGTAGTTCTCTGCCAAGAGAACTGGGACTCATTTTCCCTGGAGACGACCCCCCTGGTAACTTCACTTTGATTTATATTTAGCAGTCTGTATTAAAAGAGCTGTATGTGTACAGGAAGAAGGAAGCTCTGCATCCTGTGATGATGTAATGTAACGGAAAGAACAAACCACATCATCTTTGAAAATCATCTACCTTTTTTGTCCTTAAAATATATTTTTTACTAGTTTCCAGTTTGGATTTAAAAAGTTCCAACCAAGAAAGGGGGTACCCTCTATTCTTAAAATATAAAACCACTGGGTTATTTCTGTATACATTGTAACCCACTTAAGCATTCAAAATGAGTAATATTCCACATTAAATGTCAGTTTCCTCCATCGTTTCACTCACTTCTTGGTGTCTCTGCTGCCGGCCCAGTATCCTCCAATAGCAACGGTTCCCACTGCCATCAGAAAGATGATCACCATGTTGTAGTCCAGCACCGGCTCACTGGGAGCATACATGGCGACCTGTCTTTCTTCACCAAATTTCTGCAGCAGTTCGAAACAACATTTAGTCGAGGCTTTTTTTAAGCTCGACACAACAAAATCCTCCTTAGTAGATTCTCATCAAACATGCATTATTTAGCATTTGGCAGAGATCCACTTTCCTGTCTCTCCAGAGGCGGACTCTAAAATGTTTATGGCGAGTTGACACGGACACAGTTGAACACTCAGGTTTGTTTTAGTCTCCTGTTGAATGGCCCCTCACCTTGATAATCTCCAGCATATCAGTGTAGCTGAGCAGCGCTACAGGAATGTCAATCTCTTCATACTGAGTCCTGTTTCCTGCTGGGGGTGTCTGTAATTCAAAACAAAATAAAAACACATGTCTGTTTTCCGAAGTGCCAAATGCAATGTTCTCTTGATGCACAATGTAATAAGCTACATCTTTAAGATTTAGAGGCAAAGTTCCTTCCTTTTCAGTGGAACACCATGGGACATTATTTTAGGGAGATAAAAATCGAACAGTTGTCAACTATTTTGTTGATTTTTAAATTGTGCTATGAGTTACACATATGTTTGTACATTTGAAAGATATTGTTGCAACTCCAAAATGTAGAAAATTGTTGCAGTAGAAGACGGAAATAACAAAACTGACAACACATTTGAAAGTTGCATAAATGAAGTAATATCTTTACCTATTCTCTCACTGCAGCTACAATGCCTGTGTTTCATATCGGGACAATTAACTAGCTCGCAGCTGCATAGCTACAGCTCTAGGCATGGCCAGGCTTGTAGTGATTTACACCTCTTTTAATACTCGTTTCCTCGTTGTGAAAAGAAAAGGGAAATAGGGTTTGGTAGCAGTCAATCAAATGTCAGTGTTGGATGATTTTGAAAGTTGAGAACATTTCATTTTTGCATAGTAACATTTACTTTTGAGTGAAACAGCTGTAACACCCTTACATTTGTTTTTATTAATTTTCCAAAATAAGGCACAGGGGTGGCATATCAGAGACAGAGGGACTTTTTAGAGTAATAAGCATGTTTACCAGTCTGTCCTTGCTGACGATGAGCAGGCCCTTGGCTCCGTTAATCTGGGCCAGTCTGACCTTTTCATAGAAAGTGCAGTTTCCTCTCATCACCATGGGGATGCGATTTGGGAATCCTCCCTCTGGGACGTCAGAGGGCGAGCACAGGACCGATGAAGTCAGGTCATAGATTGGAAGACGAGACTTTAAGACACACACAAAGGGTGCAACGTTAAGCGCATTCTGTTAGGGGTCAACTCTTACCATGAATAAAAGGTCACAAAGTGTCTTTTTTTATGAATAGGCACTGCAGACACGTCTTGTTGCTCGCTCGTGACTTACTGCCTTGTTGAGGTCCTGAGGTAGACGGGCCCACTGAGAGTTGAAGAATATGCAGTAATCCTTCCCTTTGCTCTTGCCCATGTCACTGAAATGGGCCATGCCGTACTCTCCCACCACCTGTCAACATGACAACAACATCACTCCACGTCCATCAAACATTTATAAATTGATTTTTTTATAGTACATAGACTTGAACATTATTTCCATGTGAACTGTCGTTGCTGTTCTGTAACAAGGTTACATTCAAAACCATTGCTGTAAATGTATCCTGTTTATTTGTATTTTCTAAACAATGAAGAATGTTAAAGTTGACACTTTGAATTTGAGTTTGTTTTTTATGTATTGCAGTTTTTTTTAAATACTAGCCATAATATATACATTTGGAGGTGAAACATAATTTGAGTAAGATAGGTAGCCCACTCACTTTTAATTAACTATATAATTAAACAACAATGCGCATTCCCAAAGCTGTGACAATGGAAGCTGAAGTTGATGCCAGGTGTGGCTGATTAACTGTTGCCCTGCTGCAATTTGATTGGCTGATTGCCAAATACTGTTTTCTAATTGGCGCTTAGCTGTCAGACGTCTGAATTTCACCTATAAAGATATTAACTTCGATCCCCATGAACAATGTAGAGTATTTCCTACAGCACATATAAGTATGCCTTTTGCTGAAAATCTTGAGATAAAACTGAGAGTGAATAGTAAAGGGGCATTCAGGAGTTGAACAGATATGTGCTCTGTCTAATTATCATGTGTTAAACTCAGTGGGAAATTGGCAAAGTGCATTATGTCAAATTGTAAGATGTTGTAATTGTCGAAAGTCATTAGGATTTGTACAATGGTGGAATGTAACTAAGAACATTTACTCAAGTACACTTTGGAGTATTAATGCCACGTTATACTACTACTCCAATACCTTTGGAAATCACATGTTGTAATGTTTACTCCACCCTTTATTTGCCAACATTTGATGAATTATAGAAAAAAACACTTGGCAGTGTATTATGTGTTTGAGATTAGCCCCTCCTTCAAAACATACAGTATGAATGCATCACTAGTTATAATAGTTGAAATGGGCTATTCTTGATAATGAGTATTTTTTACATATTGCAGGTTTTGTATATTTTGATGCCTATACTTCTACATAAGTAGAGTTTGGATCATAAGATCTATATTTGTCTTTGTGGTTTTAGGCTACTACTTAAGTAAATAAAACATAGTACTTGTTTTATTATAACAAAGATGATGTCAAATGGCTTACAGGCAAGAGAAGAATAAAACACTTGGTAATACTTTAGAGTACAGTTGGTTTGATGACATTACAAGGACATTATAATCGGCTGAGAATTTTTTTTACCATCCAGCCCAGATGCTCAGACGCGTTACCAGAGATGTGAGTTAATGGCTAACATTTTCCTAATGTCGGGCTAATCGATACTGAATCGCAGTCGGCCATTAAAAACTCTAGTGGTTAAACATGAAGCAGTGAATCATACATAATCCTGCTTCGTTAATTTTGCCTCAAAGTGTGAAAGATGTGCCTGTTTCCAGGGCCCTCGGTGATCTCCGCAAGCTAACAGGCATAGCATCGCAGCTAATACATCCCGAAAACACGGCTGTTTTTGCCAGCCATGTCTGACAATGCAATGTAAACGTGCAGAGAAACAGTTTATGAAGAAATACCCTCTGTCTCTCTCACCTTATGTATGAGAAAAGCGGCCCAAAGCAGTGTTTCAGGGACCCTCATGATGCGTAGCTTGTTGTTGTTTCCCCCATCAACCACCCAACCAACCGCTCCACTCAAAGCGCCTTGCACTAACCCCCACCAGCTGTTCCAAGCCACGCCCATTTTTCTTTTCGGAGTTTTTCTATTGGCTGTCACCGTCAGAAACGAGTGAACACGTCCCTGATTGGTTGAAGTCAAAGTCAGTCAAAAAGAACACAGAAAAGTGGAAATATCCTCCTGGGACCAGTGTTAATTTCGTCAACGAAAACTATGACGAAAAATGTTCGTCAACGACCTTTTTTACATGACTAAGACGAGACGATAACGAGCTAAAAATAGATTCTTGATAACGAAAATTTGACGAAATGTATATTTAGTTTTCGTTAACGAGACGAGACGGGACTAAGGTGTTAATGGTGGACTAGCGGACATTCAAAATGCAGCATATTTTCCCCCAATTGCCCGTCTTGTCTGTCAAAATGCATCATACATTTCTAACTTGCAATATCATTATTTCCGCTCTCTTCACTCCAGAAGAGCGATCTCTCTCTGTCTCTCTGTGTGCGGGGGGCGGGGCCTAACAGACACGCTGCAGCGGCACACATGCCCCTTTCACACCGGCGCTTTTCCAGCTCCTGCTGGGAGCTAGAGCCTGAAAAGCGCCGGTTTTTCCTGTTCACACCGCAGCGGCGGCGCGTCATAGCTCCGGAATGCGGTTCACTTCCAGCTCCAAAAAGTTGTCGGTCCAGAGGCAAGAGCTTTGGAGCTATGACGCGGCGTCGCTTACGTCTCTTACGTCTCTTACGTCGAGGCGTGCAGGAAACCTTACTTTGACCATCCGTTCGCTGTTATTGATCATTGTGGAGAGCAGGCAGACGTTTGGTTTGTTATTATAGCAGCTATCGGATGGAATTAATACATGGGCTGTACAGGTTGTCATGTCCGACTATCACAAGTAGAATCATAATGAAAAATACGCCGGTAAAAAGTGCCTGGAGAAAACGGCTTAGCAAGTAGTCCGTTTAGCTTCGGTTGCTATGCTAACATCACCCATGTTATACCAGAGAAACTTTCATAACAGCGTTGTGATGCCAAACAGCGTCAATTCAGACTGACACACATTCACTTAAGGGGAACTGGGGATATGTATCAGCTGCTTGTGTGACAGTCAGACAGTGAATACTTTAGAGCCGTGTGAGCTAACCCGGAGCTAACGGGAGAATACACTCCCGTTGAAGAGCAGCCAGCACTGCAGCGGTCGGTAAATGCTGAAACACATTAATAAACAATGAACCACGGCACTCTGGAGAAAAGTATAAGGTTGGAGAAGTCGTTATTTAATTTAATCTGGCTTCGTATGATTAAAAGCAACACGATCGTCGACCCGACGCAGTCCCCCCCCCGTTGTTGTGGGAGAAAATCTCTCGGCAGCTCTGGGCAGTGTGAACAGAGCGGGAGCTGAAAAGGGAAACGGGAGCTGAACCAGAAAAGCTCTCGCTAGGAGCTAGAAAGGGAAAAGCGCTGGTGTGAAAGCCGCAACAGAGATCTGCCGGGGACGGAGCGTTCAGAAGTATAGAGACACTACAAGGCTCGATGTGGACAAAGCTCGTTTGCCATGTTTTCGCGTTAGCGCGTTGACACGAGTAGAGTAGTCTGTCCAAACAGCCGGCCAAAAGGCGTCATATTCAGTCGGAGAAATGCACAATTTTCGACTTCCTTAACTCGTAGCTCTGTTGCCCCAATTACGACATCAGGTGTGCAGAGGTGGGAGAAGTACTCAGATCTTGTCGCTAAGTAAAAAAATACCATAGTGTAGGAAGAGTTCCTCAAGTCAAAGTATGATCATCAAAATATAGTTAAAGTAGCGACAGTACAAGTAGTGATTGTGCAGATTGTTCCATTTCAGAATAATATATATGATATGTTTTATAATGATTGATCATTAAAGTGTTCTCAAAGCTGGTAAAGGTGCAGCTAGTTTGAATGATATATTATATATCTGTATACTGCAGGGTAGCTTGTGAATTTACTAAAGTCTGAGTTAACACTTGATTATATTTCACATCATTCATCCACATCTGTAAAGTAACTAAAGGTATTAAATACATGTAGTGGAGTAGAAGAACACCATTTAACTATGAACTGTAGTGGAGTAGAAGTACACAGTAGCAAAACATTTAAATACTCCAGTAAAGTACAAGTACCTCAACATTTTACTCAAGTACAGTACAATATTTTAACATAATTATATATATTTAATTTATTTCACATTTTAAATAAAGCAATTAATTCGGTTAACAATTTGTTAGTTTTTTCCTTTAAAAAATAACAAAAAGTAAATACAAGAATACCGTTAAAGTACCGGATCGATAAGCAGTATTGATAAGACTAGCAGTACCGTAGAAAACCTTAATGATACCCATCCCTAGATATTACACAAGTAAAGTGTTAAGAGAGTGAAATGTTGCTTTACGAATTTCAACACTTGATGCTGTCACCTTGATTACAATTTCAGATACCTGTATTTGCCTAACTGAATTGGTTTAAAGAGAGAAAACATTTTGACTAAAAGTTGACTAAAATGTAATTTTTCATCGACTAAAAGTAAACTAAAACGTTTTGAGTTTTCGTCGACTAAAACTAGACTAACACGTTTTGAGTTTTCGTCGACTAAAACTAGACTAAAACTATGAAGGATAGAAATGACTAAAATGTGACTAAAACTAATTACCATTTTCGTCTAAAGACTAAGACTCAAAAACAGCTGCCAAAATTAACACTGCCTGGGACCCGAGAAAAAAAAGTGTCTTCCAATTTCCTTTTTTTTGTGATTTCCTACCTATTTAGGGTTAAAATAACATCTTGCAATTTAGACTTTTTTAATTTAATTTAATTTTTAAATGTTACAGTATGTCCACTGTAGAGGACGTCGGGACCATTTTAGTTTGAAAAGACAGCCAAAATTAACAGATAGACTATGTAACGTATTATGGTTATAGAGTGATATTAATACAATAATACATTAACCTTTATTTAAAACATGAATAAGTAATTGATCTGAACATTGCTGTTTATTTGGTCACTAAAAAACTAGTTTGGTTTTTGATGAATCTTTCCAGATTTTCAAAGACTTTGTAGTGGGAAAAGTACCTCATTGACTCCAGTCGGCACGGGCTGAAGGGTCATCTTGACTAGTTTTATGGATGTGGTCTCCATTTGACCATGCTCATAGAAACAAAGCTTGCATTCCTGAGGCAATTCTCATTTTTCATGGCTCCACTTAAAATAAAAACAACAATAAGACATACGTGCTACTCTTGGCCCACAGAGGGCCATGTCTTTCCAGCTCGTCCCTATCTGTCTCTCTGTCTGTATCTGTGCGCTCATGGAGCCTCCTGCATCTTTCCCCCCTTCTTCTTGACCCTCTTCTATCCCAGGTGTGAAATCCTCATCTCTCTCATCATCTGAGAGCTCAAAATCTGAATCTCCCTTAACTATCTGGTACAGAAAATGTCTGCTTCAGTTCCGTCTCCTGCAACAAAATATTGAGTGATTAAGTCCATGAAGATGGTCCTGACGTCCACTAGAATGGACATTTATAAAAGAGCTGTTATTTGAAAACTTGAATTATTTAATTGCTTTCAGAACTAATTATATAGTTCCTCACATGTTAATAAACAAGAACATATATGATTTTCATGGTAAAAATTACAATTATTCAACAATATTTGACTTCTCCTCCTGCTTCTATAAAATCTTGTTTTTGGTATGCCAGCCATTTTGGATGAAAAGAAAGAGGAACTTCCCAGCATGCAATTTTAACCAATGACATATCACTGGAAAGACCAGGGTGTCCTCTGTACAGTACATCAGGGATTGATAGAGTAGCTCAAAAGAGTAAAAGGAGATGCATGTTAACAAAATGTCCACTACAGTGGACATTTTCAATGGGCTGGGTCCCAGGAGGATATAAGTAGGCCTAATATGAATCTACGATTAGTTCAATTTATAAGACTTGAACACGGTTTAGTTCCTGAGCTTGACACTTGACACATTACATTTTTAATATAGGGTTTTATAAACTGTTTCCACCTCTGTACCCTATATTGTTTTGATTTGTTCTCATTATAATAATAATTCCTTTGATTTAAGGCAGCCTTTCACGACACCCAAGGACACCATACAATTCAGTAAATACTCTAAGAGGTTAAAAGCAACCGAACAGGATAAAACCCAAACAGGCTATCGTGGAAGAGAGACAGAGTCTGGGAGCAGTGCAGCTAAAAGCCAGAGCAAAACACTTGTTCTTGTATCTGTTTGTGTTCTTTAATGTCAATTTCTGTTATGTCTGTTAATGCCAGGGTTATAAGAAACCAGTTAAAGAGAACACGCTTATTTTTATATTTCCAAAACAAAAGTGCTGATTTTTGTTTCAGTCAAAAGAATCAAGCCTTAGAAACAGATGTGTCATTTTGGAGGAGAAAATGGGGTAAAAATGTGTGGTTTTACCTCGGTAGTAATAGGTCAGCAGGGGTCGCTATACTACAGGGAAAGTTTAAAAGTTATCAGTCCACAATAGAGAGATTGATATTGGAGACATAGGAACTTAAACCAAAGAGCATATGAGTAATAAGAATAGATCTCAGCAGTCCTGCATAGACCTCTGGTTGATCTCCTCAGACATAGAACATAAGTTGGATTCAGTACTAAAAGAACCCTCAGTCTTTACAGATCATACTGCTGTTATCGCAAAAGTCAATCTGGGACCAATCAGACATAACTGTATCTGGGATTACTGGAAATTAACCAAAACACTCTTATTAAATACTGAATTTAAAACCGAAACTCAGAAATATTGACAATGCAGTGGCTTTTTAATGCTTTGCCTAGGAGGAGTGTGCTGCAGCTTCTTAGATATCCAGATACTGAGGCCTCAGTGGTTGATCTTTCTAATAGCAGTATATTCCTTGGTGAAGTGGTCGTTCATATACATTTGCGAGCATTTGTTGTTAGGTTGCTGTTAGGTTAGCCCAGTCTAGCGTCATGATAAGACAATTCATAACAAATTGTTTATTTACATTTATAG